TCTGTAAAAGAAATATTTTTCTTTATTTATATTATATTCGCAGTTACGGAAAACCTCCAAAACCACAAATGGATGGTGCCGAATCGTGAAGGGTATTCTAGTCCTTTCACATCCTCGAGGACTATAAAATAAGCTCAACCCTCCACGATCAATTTTACCCGCTGATAACAGCCAGAGGTTGCACAGTGCGTCACTAAATCGATTCCGCCGGGGACTCTGATTACCCGGTCGCCGGAGTTATCGTTCCCGATCAAACATTCGTACTTTCTCGCTCCCTCTCTCTTTATTTCTCTTTGGTGTTCATTTTCTTCTCCGCTTGTTCTCTGACGCGAGGTTTATTTTTGTGTTTTTTCTCAGACGTCTTCGAGACTGACGAAGAGCTGGGTAATAACAGCGCTGGTCGTGTGATGGGGTTTTGTATTTCTCCATTGGGAACACCGGCTAGGTTACTGTGGAGCACCAGCTTCTTCCGCCACAAGCTCATGATTTTCTAATTTTCAGCCTAATCGCTGAAATAAACCAAATTTCATATAAATCGTTTCGCGTTTTAATAAAGATCTCCCTCGATTTCGTGTCCCTCTGGCCAATCCTCCGCCGGCGTGAATCGCTGGCGATCTCTCCTGCTCACGATTCCTGTTTCAGATAGAAGAGAATAATTGATGATGTCGGACGGTTTGATCTTCAATCAGTCTCCAGTTCAGGGCAACCTGCTGTTTTTCGGGAGTGAAGATTCCATTCTTCGAGGTAATTTTCCTTTTAGTCCACTGGATAGCAGAGAAAGTGATGAATTTTCATTTGAGGGCCTTTCTAACAAGTAAACTGTTATCTCGGATGATTTTTCTAAGTTGCTAGTGTTTCTGCAAATGTTAATATGGTGTAGGACCAAGGTTCACGATGGGGATGGATGAAACCTCAAAGAGGCGGTCCTTTTTCAGCTCTCCGGATGAGCTGTTCGACGACGACTACTACGATGACCAGCCGCCTGAGAAGAAGCGCCGTCTAACTCAAGAGCAGGTATTTAAGGAACCTATTTCATTATTTCTTTCTATTTTTTCGGTGGGTGGAGATGGAACTGTCGAATCTGAAACCTGAACTGGATGCATTATACTCGTGGCATATTCCATATATCCATTCTATGCTGCTACTTTAATGCGATTACCTTTGAATCAATTCTGATCTCCTTGTTTACGAGTTCTGGTGGTAAAAAAATTAAGCATCAGTCCCATTCTGAAACTTCACTCTCTAGATAAAATGCGAAAGGAAAATTCGGATCCATTACATGGCTTATACATTAGGGTGTGACGAAAAAAGTAAAGGGGTAGAGGGTATGAGTTCGAACTGTGATAGTCACCTTTCTAGGAGTTTTTTTGGCAAGCAAATCTTGTAGAATCACGTAATTGTCTAGTGACATTGATCAAGGTGCATGGAAGCTAAACGGGACACTCTTGGATTTGAAAAAAAATAAATCAGTTGAACTAGGAGATTATAGTTTGTTTCTGTTCTGTCTTTTGCTCTTTTTTTTTTTTTTTTTCTCTATTATGCATTCCAATTACCTCAGCTTTTCTGTTTCTTATCCTCCCGTTTTATCATGTTTTACTAGTAAATGAGACTAACCATCTTAGATTCTTATTGCTAAAAAGGAAAAGAAAGAAAAAATTATGTGACAATATATACTGTTGATCATCCCTTATTCATGGCCAATAATTAGGTGAATCTGCTAGAGAATAGTTTCGAGGCAGAAAACAAACTGGAGCCAGAGCGCAAGACTGAGCTGGCCAAGAGGCTGGGTTTGCAGCCGAGGCAAGTGGCTGTGTGGTTTCAAAACCGCCGAGCCCGATGGAAGACGAAGCAGCTTGAAAGGGACTATGATCTTCTTAAATTATCATATGGTTCCTTTCGTTCTAACTTCGACTTTATTGTCAAGGAGAATGAAAGGCTCAAGGCAGAGGTATCTATCCCCACTGAAAAGCTATATAGTTTGAAACTTTGGTTTTACAGTGGAGAGTCGCCCTTTTGCTGCAGATCTATTATTAATTGTCCATAAACCTTCATATGTTTTGCTAAGTTTTACAGATGTTGAGAACTCAACATTTTATTGTACTTGATTGCTTGGCTGTCTTTGATGTGACAAATCTTCCGAACATAAATTTAAGTAGAATTCTTTGTAAACCTTTAGGATGGTGGACCATATGTCTTAGTTTCTTAAGATGACTGTAATTTTTAGTTAATCTTTTACTAGTTTCACGATCACATTTACTTAGAGGATGTCTTGTGAATTTGTGGTCCTACAAGTCAGTTTGACTTTTTGGGCACATCAAATTTAATCTGGAATAGGTTCTGAACCAAAATTTCTAAGTTCAAGAGAAGATATGGGTTTCTTTCCCATATATGATGGGAATCTTTCTCTATCATGGGGAAAAAATGCCAAGGAAAAGGAGTGGGGAAATTAGTTAAAGAGGAACTTGGTATTTTTACTCACCTACCGGTCTCTTATGCATGCTCAATTACTGAACTCAGGTAGCTTCTTTAACTGAGAAACTTCAAGCTAAAGAAGTGGTTGAATCCTCATTTCAAGCTAAGAAACCTGAGCCAATTCTGGAAGATCAACTCCTTGTTCCTGTTGTGCAACATAGCATGAAGATTGAGGACCACCATAGTTGCAGGAGCAATGGAAGTGCCGTGCTGGACGAGGACGGTCCTCAGCTCTTAGACAGTGGGGACTCGTACCTCCTGAGAAATGACTATGATGGCTGTGTTTTGCCCGTTTTTGGAGCGAACTCAGAGGAGGAGGATGGGAGCGACGATGGTCAGGGTTACTTCTCGGATGTTTATACAGCAGCCGATCTGCAAACTCACGAAGTAGAGCCTCTGACCTGGTGGGACTGGACGTCGTAACGGGTGTTTTCGAATCATCTCGATATTAAGCAGGGTGGAACTATAATATAAGGTTTACTGTATGATATTATACAGATGAAATAATCTAGTGTGAACATTATTTAGTTTGGAATGAATGCATGTGTATTAATTAAAATCTAGGTATTGTGCCTTTACATTGTTGTTCTTCTGTGCTTAACAAAGTTGGGAACCTCTAGGACTGGCCAAGTTGTGAGAATAATTTTATTTTGAAAAGTAAATTTTAGTATATGAGTTTTTGGTCTTCTGTTCTTCTTCAACTTCTATAAATGATTATCCAAATGCATTGTTGCAGAAGTTCTGTTTAAAAAGATTAGGAAATTAATTTTGGAAACAACTTATAAACAACCTTTTTGTCTGTTCTAAATATTTCCTTTCACATGGACTGTCCTTTGACTTCCTCTTTCACACTCTTAATGAGTTCATCTTTTTAAGTAGTTTCTTCCAAAAACAAAGCGTTCAGTATTCTAATTTAGTCTCTAACTTTTGCATGAGAAATTTGTTTTAGCCTTCATTAAATTTTTGATTAACTATTCAATGAAGATCAGTGATGATACAAATATTAGTAAATTCATGAACAATTTTCTGTTAGAGTTTAACAATTGCACGGCAAGAGATCTACTCTTTTATCACGGCAATATATATTTTATCTATTGAACTATCGTCGAATTCATCCATGGTTAGTAATTATAAACTCGTTAACAAATCTAATTTCATTTTAAATGGAAATCTTCTGCAGCTTATGCTCTCCTGAAATGTTGGCATATAAGGCACTAAGAAGAACCAAAAGATTACAATGGAATAGAACCTATTCTTTTCCACTTTTAATTTAAATTATTTTTATGATCCACTCTCTTCTCTACCACAGTCCCCTCTGCAGCATATGCTCTTCTCAAATGTTATTTTCAAATCAGCAAACTTCTAAACCCCCTGCTATGCCTCTAATGTTGGAATAGACTTGACGTAAATTAAATTACAAAAATAACGAAATAAAAATATAATACTACATTTACAGTAATAGGTTTTATAATTGCGTAAGATAGAAGCTCGTCATAGTATATCAAATTTTGAAATATCATATAATTAATGTGTTATTTTGTAAAATACTTAATTATGTCAATCCGAGTATAATTTAACTGGTTTAGGCGTATATCTTGGTCAAATGTTCGTATCTCCACTCCCACTTATTATTGAACTAAAAAAAAGTTTAAGAGTATGAATCTACACCCCACCACTTGTTTTAGGTTAAAATATACTATATTAGTTTTTTTTTTCTTTTCAAATAAAAAAGAAGTATTCTAACCTATTATTTAATATGAGTAGCACTAGTTAAAGAGAAATCAATCTTTTGAAAAAAAAAAGGGTAGAAGTGACCTAGAAAGTTAAATAATTTGTGTCTAAAAGAGAAACTCAAGTGCATTGGAAGTGAAGTAGGAAAAGTGAAAGGCACATAAAACAACACAACAAAACAAAGGAGTGTCTAATAATTTGTCATTTTTCCCTTTGTGTTTGTCTCAAACGAACTCTTTAACCACTCCATTATGAGGATTATTTAACCCCATAATTAATTACATGATTATACTTTTACACTCACTACCAACCACAAATACAATCCTACTACAAAAACTACTCAAATTATCCAAAAAAAAAAAAATCAAAACTTTAGCTTTTTGACTTTGAAACTAACCAACCCATCTCATAATACATTTATAATTTCCAAAAGATAACACCAACTTCTCCATTGAAATCTCTCTTCCACACTCGCTAAAGCCATTCATGAAGCTAGACAACAACGATGGCAGTGATGGTATCTGTAACATTGATACTTGTGGCCATTTTAATTTTGGTGTTGATTCACGTTTGCATAGTTGTAAGAGCATTGAGAAGAGGGTTTGAAAATGAGATTACATCCAACAATGGAGATGCAAGTATGTGTAGAGATGACTTGGAGAAGCTTCCTTGCTTTGAATTCATGGCTATGGAGGAAAGAAATGGCAGCCCTGTGGATTGTGCGGTTTGCTTGGGGAAGTTTGAGATGGGGGACAAGTGTAGAATGTTGCCTCTTTGCAAGCATAGCTTCCATGCTCGTTGTGTGGATGAGTGGCTTTTGGTCACTCCTATTTGCCCTATTTGTCGGACCAATACTCTTGAGTCGCTCAAGGGTTGCGGTGGCCGAGAAGGCAATGTCGTCTTAGTGACTCCAACTTCAAGTTGAGAAAGAAATATTAACATGAAGTTAACCGGAGCTAGTTCAACGGTAATTGATATTTACTCTTTATTTTTTAAGTCGGAGGTTTAAATCTTCATACCTCAATTTGTTATACTAAATGTAAGATCGTCAACAAAGATGGTTTGATTTAATGTTTGAATACAATTACAATGTCTGATGCGTGTAAATGGATAAGGCATATCTCCAACGTCATCTAATGGGGTTGAGGATGTTGTAAGTTTGGGAAATGTGTTTAGTTGGCTAAAATTTATTCATTTTTCTAGCATTTATAAACAGACAAGCTGTTTTATTGGTGAAGTGTGACATTTCTAATCATTTATTTTTATCCTTTGAGACAATTGTTTTCCTTTGATATTGTATGGTCACCACTCTTGTGATGGAAGGTACTGTTTCTTTTTAATGCAATATTTCTTGTTAAAGAAAAAAATAAAGATACACTGGATTATGGGTTATTTATTTATTATTATTAAGCTTCTTGTAATTGTCAATTTTATAGTTTTATTTTTAAGTATATTTTCAACACAACCCGACCCGTTCATATGGGTTTGGGCCGGGCTGGTCTTACGCATAAATTTGACATTTTTGGGCCCAATTGGGTAATCCTTTTTTTTTTTTTTCTAATTAGAAAAAGAATAACGAGTTCAATGATTTTGCAAGATGAAGAATATTTTGGGCTGCGTACCAAATCAACTTTATAAAAATTTAGTATCAAGCTTGATTCAAATTATTTATCTCAACAACACACCATGAAGTCATGAACTACATGTTCAAGTCTTATCAAACCCGACCCACCCTTAAAAAAAAGCATCAAATTCACGTGTTAACCGAACCCATTTAAACATTTTCAAGATTTTGATGTGCCTAATAGAATTCATTTTTATAAATTTGGACTTTGATTTGCACACGTGGAGTATCTTCTCCAAAGATATCTATATATTTCCTTTAGAAAAATCTATTCAATTATTTCACCTCACCTCCAATCATTCCAAAAATTCTCCGAGGAAAACAAGAGTTACCACACAAACAAATTTTCTTTCACAACTTCATTTCTCTAATGGATCAATTCATATCTTTAGATCTAAATCTCGCTCCTTATATTTAATTTTTTTCGTTTCTGTATCACACCACCATTCTATTATATAATTTTTTGGGCAGAAAAAGAAGGTCGACACATGCAATGTCTTAAGAAAATAATTGCTTAAAACCCTTCTAATACAAGAGATCTCAAAGAAGAAAACATCATTGAATTCATTGTATTAAGAGTTATATATTTGATTGTTGTTTTGTTAATGAACTTTTTTTTTTTTTGGTGGGATGATGAATAACAAAGACAAATGCTAGTTTGTTCTTCTCCCCACATGAGCCAATGAAACAGGGAAGACATTAAATAAAGGGTCATGTGTTGGTGCATGAAATTAAAGGCTATCGAAAGATGACAAAAAGCTTAGAAAGAAGAGGTGAGTGATAATGGTGGCATCAGCAGCTCATAGTCCTTCTTCTTCCTCCTCTCATGTTAGATTCCCAATAACTCCAAAGTCAAAGAAAGAGGCAAAAAGAAATTGAGTGGCCAAATAGTGAATAGTGGTTTTGGTATTGGAGAGTAACAGCAAAATGGGTTGATGTGAGTTGTTGTGACAGACTGCCACTTCCTTTATAACCTTCTTCCCACCTTAATTGTTTAGCATCTCCCTTTTTCTAATTTGTTCCTTCACTAAATGTTTGGAGAAAATAATAATAATAATAATAAAGGGTATTTTTGGAAAATAGTTTCAATTTTGAGATAGTTTTGTATACAATCTCGTAGATATAAGAGCAGAACGAAGAAGGAAGAGTACGCGGGGTTAAAAATATATATTCCAAAATAGTCAAAACCAATCAAAGTATCATAGTTCAGTGGTAACTACTATATATTTTTAATCATTGTAAGTTGGAATCTCCACTCCCACGTTGTACTATTTTCCTCTAATCTCTCTCCCTACCATTATCTAAACTTTTTTATTAGAAAATGTTATAGTCAAGATGGTAAATTCTTTCTCCAACCTCCCACTATATGACCATATTGATTTTATTTTATAAAAAATTTAAATATATGACTATTTTCCACATAGTAGAACAAAATTCAAAATATGAATCCATTTCAATTTTGATGTAACATTACTATTGACTATTTGTTATTTCTATAAACTAAATGATTTAGTAGTGGTAAAGACAATACATTTTAAATAGTATGGTAAGAATGTCAACAAAGACAACAATATCAACCATTAGGATATATATATAAATACAAATATTGACAAATATAACTTATTTGGAAAGTATTCACTGTTATTTATTAATCTAAATGATCTCTATGAATTTGCATCACTTTTCATAACTTTTCTTGAAATAGTCCATGATATCAATAGCATTTTCAATGTCTGACATTTATTTATTTTTATTTTTATTTTCATTTCAAGTACTAAGTTATTGGAGTATACATCAACAAAATTAAATTTATTTTGATTATTTTCTATCTACTTCGAAATTGACTAATATATATTAACGTTATTATTTCACATTAACAGTGCTATAATTTTTATAAATTAAAAAGTGGCTCCACCATTGAATTTTATTTTATCACTTTTCAATTTATTATAATAATTTTATATTTTAGTGTGTATAATTATATTGCTCGCCACTGTTATGAATACGGATTTAAATAAATGTATCAATGAATCATTACCAAAGATCTAGAATTAGGTAGGAAATTAAAGATTTTTTTATTCTATAAATGGGTTAATGAACACAGTTTAATAACCATTTCATCTTTCATCTTTAATTTTTTTATATATTTAAAAAATAAGATCAATTATTAAGGTCCTTTTCTAAAAATTTGTCTTTATTTTTAAAATGTGGCAAAAAAATTCAGATGTGTTCAAAAGGAAAATGAAAAACATAGTAAAGGAAACAAAATTGTTACCAAATAGGGTCTAACTATTATTTTAGATTTTTGAAATTGATATTTAGAACTGGGTATATGTTTTAAAAAATCGTTTCTTTTTCTTCTATAGAATCTTAGATTATATATATATATATATATATATATATCATAGGTATCCCTTATTTTCATTACTTTTAATTTTATCTTTTGCCTCCCCAAGTTATATATTTCTCTATTTTTAACATATTAATTCTACCAACCTCATTCTTCAATTTCGAGATCTCTCTCACTTTTAAGTTCCCTCCTTCCAACAACTTATCTCTCGCTATCGACTTTCTTTCTCATCTTAAAAGTGCAGCGAGGACGGAATTAGAAATCGATAAGATCTTGAGCAGAGAAGTAGGGAAAGATAAACACTTGCATCAACGAATACTTGCATATATATGAAAAGAAAGAGAGAAAAGATATTTAGTTAGAAGAATAATTTGATGATATGAGATGAGAGTATTGAAGGTTGGGAAAAAGAGGGAATGGAATGCGCATATTGCAACCACAACCAATAGGCAATAGGATTGTGTACGATGGACAATGTGTGTTGTGTTGTGGGACCCCATTCCCACCACAATGCCTTCCCTTTTCCTTCCACTCTCAAACGTCACATGTGCTTCTCATTATTTTCCATCACCTACCAATAGTGTTTTGACACTTCCGCTATCGTCTCGTTTTACTTACGTGCATTTTCACTAATTCCACGATAGTACGAAAAAATGTGTAGATGATGGGAATTTGAACTTCCGACCTCTAGAAAATGAGTCGATGTCTTAACTGTTGAACTATGTTAATGTTGTATCAATATTCATGAGATTTCATTTCAAAGTCAATTGACTTTGAGAGGAGTAGTCATGTTTATTATAAACTTTTGTTATGTCTCTTGTTTTTTTAATGTGAGATCCTTAACATGTCCGCCAAGATGGTGGTTCATCAATCTTAGCCAGACCCCCTTTTTTTTTTACTGTATGCTCATTATCGTGGCTCTTTTGATTCATTAATCTTGACTTGATCTCATTTTTTGATTGGATGCTCGTTTGAGCGTTTTAGACTCTGATACCATATTTATATTCATGAAGTTTTGTCTCAAAGTCAATTGGCTATGATAGGGGTAGCTTATGTGTTATAAACTTTTGTTATGTGCTTGTCTTTTCAACTTAGGATCCTTAACATGTTGGTGCTGGTTTTGTAAGGTGATTGCAAACAAAGTCTCACATTGGCTAGGGAAGAAGATGATCATGGATATATAAGAGAGGACAATATCTGGAATGAGGCTTTTTGGGTGAAACCAAAAGCAAAGCCGTGAGGTCTATGTCCAAAGCGGACAATATCATACAATTGTAGAGATACTCGGGACACTTGGAGTATCGTTGTCCTTAACAGTTGGCGCGAGAAACTAATAGGACTCTAATGCACCGCTTTTGCCCCCGATTTTCTAAACCTATTTCTATTTCTATCCTCGTCAATTCTTCAAAATTATTAGATTTTTCTGTTTGGTCTTTTTCTCTCTTAAATGGTCAACAATAAAAAGTTTGACTTTCTTCCCTACTCTTTCATGTGTTTGAAAATGAAATAAACCTAATTGTATTTAAAGTCGGATGGATTATGGATATTTGTTTCTCTTTTTTATAATAATTTTATTTACTTTCATTCTCTTTGTTTGAATAATATCTTCATTAATTATCAATTAGTTTGATACAACGTAGTGAAATAAATAGCTACACAAAATTTGAGTCACACTCTCTTTAGTTTAAATTATCCAATTATCCACTTTCTTATACCATGTGATGCTGAGTTAGTTTTTTTTTTCTTTTTTTTTCTGATAAAAGATGCTGAGTTAGCAATAATTTAAACACTAAAACTAAATTTAAATCTAAGTTATGTTTTAAAAAGTAAACTTTCGAGTGAATTTTTTATATAGATTTAATCCAAATTTTCAAACGAACAATGAATTGAAAAAAAAAAAACAAACAAGAGAAGCAAAGAACATGACAGTGTTACAATGGTTTACTTGGTATTAAACACGTTTTTTTACTTGTAAAATCATTCTTTTTTTTTTCTTTAAATCCCCATATTTAAAAAGTTTTCGCTTTCCAAAGTTAGTTATTGCGAGTTACTAACCGATAAAGAAAGAAAATGGAGTGTTGGCAAATTTCAGCAAATAATTATACTTCATTAAAAGCCTTCAAACAATCCCAACTGATAAAACCAGAGAATAAAGACTCACAAAAGCCACCGTTTTTGCAAAGAAACATTGCTTTCAAAATTCAAACTTTTTTTTTTGTTTTCCCTTTGTCATATTATTCAAAAATTCCCTTTAAATATTTTGTTCCATTGCTTTCATTTCAAAAGGAATTTCAATCTCTACAATGTCAGTTGACACAGCACCCACGTTTCTCTCTTCGATCCATCCCAAAAAAATCATTCCTTTCTTCTTTATATACATCTTGTCTTCAAACATGAACTATAACAAATAATGTCTGATTCTGAGAAGAAAAATAGAATCTCTAAGTCTAAACCCTGAAAACAAAATACCCCTTCTTCTCTGTTCTCTCTATTTCTTGCTACAGCCCCAATTCCAACAGAAACCCCAACAGAAGTTTATATTCTCTATTGTTCATTGTTCCCCATGAAGCTGAAAAGAACCTTTTTTTCTTCCTAATTAGGCTTAATGGATCCGAGCTTATCCTGGGGTCATCCCAATAAGGTAATTTTATCTTTTATACCAATGGATGGTTCTTGAATCGTCATAAAAATCTTATCTTTTTTGGGTTTTGTGTTGCAGAGGGAATCATGGAGGACAATCTTCACTTTAGCTTATCAGAGCTTGGGGGTTGTTTATGGGGATTTAAGCACTTCTCCTCTGTATGTGTACAAGAGCACTTTTGCAGAGAACATTCAGCACTCGGAGACAAATGAGGAGGTTTATGGGGTTCTTTGCTTTGTGTTTTGGACTTTGACACTGATTCCTTTGCTTAAATATGTGTTCATGGTTCTTAGAGCTGATGATAATGGCGAAGGGGGAACTTTTGCTCTGTATTCTCTGCTCTGCCGCCATGCCCGGCTGAGCTCTCTCCCCAATCACCAGCTAGCAGATGAGGAGCTTTCTGCATACACAAGAGATAGGCCTGAATCAACTAATGATTTTAGTTCTGGTTCTTGTCTGAAATCAACTTTGGAGAAGTCCAAAGTTCTGCAAAGAATTTTGCTTGTTCTTGCCTTGATTGGGACTTGCATGGTGATTGGGGATGGAGTGCTCACGCCAGCAATTTCAGGTTTGGAATCTATCTGCTCCTAATAACCGTTTTGATACAAGTTCGAAATAATATTTAAATTCTCTTTCCTTCATCTAACGTTGTAGGATCGTTAGCCACATTGTTTTGGCCTCTTTGAAGAATTTCTCTTGAAGTTGGGAGATTGATTGTTGTTTGATTAGTCTGGCCTTTTTTCTCTGTTCATTTGCAGTTTTTTCAGCTGTGTCTGGGCTTGAGTTATCCATGGCTAAGGAACATCACCAGTGTAAGTTTCTTCTTAGTGGCCAATCCCATGAATCTTGCAATACTTTGATGGCATCTTCGTGTACTATATCCATCAGTCTTTGTATTAGATATCTCTATGGATTTTCTCTGGCATCTGGCAATTATGTAAATTGTGAGGTTGCTTCAGAACACGGCATTCGTTATGCATAGACACGACGACGTTAAAAAACATGTTTATGCTTCCATGTCTTTTCCTAATCAAAGCAAATTCTGACACCGAGCTCGCTATATTCTTTTTGTCATGAGGTTAAAATTCTAGCTTATATAATCTGGCATATGGTGAAAAAAGGTGCAACATGTCACTGAAAAAAGGTCTGGAAGTTTCTCAGTAGGTTGCCTCTCTGTGAGCACTAGAAAGGAAGTAAGAAGGAAAACATCAAGGCATCTTCTTGGAGAATTGATGGTTTATTTAGATATATTTTGAATAAGATGATCAAATTTGTAAAATGGTTGCTTTTGTTATACTATTTGGCAGCAACTCTGAATACTTATTTACATTGCACAAAGAGAAGGCAGGATTTTGATCATATATGATATAAAGCTCCTGCTCTCATTACCTTCCGATTGTGTTCCCTCCAACTTTTCTTGTTAGTAACATATACATCGAGAAGTCTTTTTCGGTTTTAAATCGGGAAGAATGTTTTCATTCTCTTGCAGATATCGAAGTCCCTCTCGCGTGTGGCATATTGGTGTTCTTGTTCGCACTGCAGCATTATGGAACGCATCAGGTCGGGTTCCTGTTCGCTCCAGTTGTAATTGTATGGCTACTATGTATCAGTGCCATTGGTTTGTACAATATCTTCTATTGGAATCCCCTAGTTTACCAAGCACTCTCCCCATACTACATGTACAAGTTCTTGAGAAAAACCCGAAAGCAAGGTTGGATGGCATTGGGCGGAATCCTCTTGTGTATAACAGGTACGAGTATGTTAGATCTGACCGCAATCGATTCCCTCCTTGTGTTTTCTTTGTTTCTAATAGCCCTTTTCTGATATTCAGGTTCTGAAGCTATGTTTGCTGATCTTGGACACTTTTCACAGTTTTCTATCAAGGTATTAAATTGAAGCACAATGATATCTTAAGTTTTTCATGTCATAAGCACAATTTATACTACATTTGATTAAAATGTTTTCGTAACAGTAAGTCACAATGCTGCAGCTTGCTTTCACTTTTGCGGTTTATCCATCCTTAGTTCTTGCATATATGGGACAAGCTGCTTACCTTTCTAAGCATCACAATCTCGACAACGATTATCGGATCGGATTTTACGTTTCTGTTCCTGGTAGGTCTGGTTACACTAACCTTCTTTTTTGGAGAATCAAATAGAGCTGTATGAAGTAATGTATGGTGCTACTGCCTATGTTTTGTTGTAGAAAAGGTAAGATGGCCAGTTCTTGCAATAGCAATACTTGCAGCTGTGGTAGGCAGTCAAGCCATCATCACTGGCACGTTTTCGATAATCAAACAGTGTTCTGCTTTGGGCTGTTTCCCAAGGGTAAAGATCATTCATACATCGTCGAAAATACACGGCCAAATTTACATTCCGCTGATCAATTGGATACTAATGATATTATGTTTGGCGGTTACTATCGGGTTTAGAGACACGAAACGCTTGGGTAATGCAGCAGGTACTATCGCTCACAAGTCGTTTTGTTACCATCACGATTTCGCTTATACTATCATCTACTTCTTGAACGTAACGACATGTCGATCTGTTTGTTTATTGTACAGGGTTAGCAGTAATAACCGTTATGCTCGTCTCAACTTGTCTGATGTCTCTTGTTATTGTGTTATGCTGGCGTAAAAGTGTGTTGTTGGCTGTAGCCTTCATACTCTTCTTTGGCTCCATAGAAGCTTTGTACTTCTCTGCATCTCTTATCAAGTTCTTTGAAGGGGCTTGGGTTCCTATTGCTCTTTCACTAACTTTCCTTATGGTTATGTATGTTTGGCACTATGGAACTTTGAAGAAATATGAGGCAGATGTTGAAAACAAAGTTCCTATAAATTGGCTTCTTAGTATAGGACCCAAAATTGGGATCGTTCGGGTTCGAGGGATCGGCCTTGTACATACCGAACTCGTTTCGGGGATCCCTGCCATTTTCTCTCACTTTGTCACCAACCTTCCCGCCTTTCACCAAATTCTAGTCTTTCTTTGCATCAAATCTGTCACAATGCCTCATGTGAGACCTGAGGAAAGATTTCTAGTTGGAAGAGTTGGGCCAAAGGAGTATCGACTCTACCGTTGCATCGTACGATACGGCTATCGTGATGTTCACAAGGACGACTTGGAGTTCGAGAGAGATCTTGTTTGTAGTATTGCAGAGTTCATAAGGTCGGAAAGAACGGAATGCAACACTTTCAGACATGAGGACTTGGACGACAATGAAAGAATGACAGTGATTGGAACCTCATCAACCCAACTAGACGGCATACGAATGTGCGAAAACGAAACGTACTCTTCGCCAATCATAGGGACTTCAGAGATAAAGTCAGAGAAGTTGAGGAAAAGAGTGAGATTCGTTCTCCCAGAGAGTCCGAAAATGGATATCGATACGAGGGGAGAGTTGCAAGAGTTGATGGAAGCTCGAGAGGCCGGAATAGCATTCATAATGGGACACTCATATGTGAAGGCAAAAAAGGGATCAGGTTGGATGAAGAAGCTTGTGATTAATTATGGGTATGATTTCTTGAGGAAAAATTCAAGAGGGCCATCTTATGCTTTGAGCATCCCTTATGCTTCTACTCTTGAGGTTGGTATGGTTTATTATGTCTAAAAATGCCAAATTGTGGAAGCAGGTTTGTTTTTTTTTTTTTTTTTTTTTTTTGTATTCACTTATTGTGTGGGCCTGGGCTTGGGCTTGGGCTCAATGATGGAAATTATGGCTTTTTCCCCAAAACTATAACTACTATTTTTTTTTCTTCTTGCAATTTGTCCTCAAAACTTTTCAAAATATCATTTTAACAAGAATATATAGTTCAAGAAAGATTTGAAAGCTCATTTATAGTTTTAAGACGAGTATTCTACTTCATGCATTATCTAGGAGACATGCATTATCTAGGAGACATAATTTTGGGTTGAATTAATTCATGTCTTTGTCGAATTAATTTTTCGAAATATTAAGTGAGATAGATTATAAAAGTAGTATTAGAATATATCAAATCAATTATTTGTTTATTTATTTTTACAATTTATCAGTCAATCAATGATCAACATGAAGTGGAATAGGTTATTATTATGAATTTTGAAGATTACCAACATCTTTTTTAAATAAGACATAAAATATGAGTTTTGATGGGTATTTAAAGCTATGGATCATGGGTTCACCAAACCCAATAAGGAGATGTATGGCCCATGAGAATATATATAAATATTATACTTTGCTCAAACAACTTAATATTGACACAAACTTTATAAAGGTTAAAGTAGTAAAGTTTAATTTGACCATTAAAGATTAATTAATAGATTCAAAGAAAACATTCTTCAGAGAGAGACCAGAGTCCAGAGGTGTATTATTATTAATTATTATTAATTACTATTATTCCACACATAATAATTGAGATCTGAATTGGAAAAGCACGTGATGGGCAGAGGGGGGAGAAAACAAAAGGGCAAAAGTTGACCAAAAAAATCCAGTCTTGGATGCTTGGCAATGGAGTATTCCTGTACGTTCGGTTGGGAGTTCTTTTCAAAAGTCTAATTAAATTATTATTTTTTATTTAAATACTATTTTGGTCCTTTTAGTTAAATTTTTGGGATGTGCTTTGAACTTTTGTTTATTTTACTCTAATTTCAAAACGTCTATTTTGGTCCTGTACTTATAAAGAATGACCAATTTACTCTTTATTTATAAAATTTTAATCAAATTTATGTCTATATTTCAAGAAATTTAGTAAATGAAATGTCATCCTAAAATTGAGATAAAAAAAATGAGATAAAAATGAAAATAAAGAGACAAAAATAGTCACTTTTCAAAAATATAATACCAAAATGAAAGTTTTAAAATTATAAGAACTAAAATGAACGAAGTTCAAAGTACATGAAATAAAATAGACGTTTTGAAAAGTATAGAAAACAAAATGAACCAAAATTGAAAATGTATATTTAAACTTTTAACTTTTTTTTTAATTTAATCCAGTTTAGTTCTAAGATAAAACTCAATTTTGATCCATTAATAAAATATTTGGACTATGTTGGAAGGAAAACTTTCATGTAGTAGTATGAAAAGTTTTTCATGCTACCCCCTTCATTGTTCTCTTATGGAATAAAATTTATTTAGTTTGAAAATAAAATAAAAAAGAAACCCATGTTAGTTTAGTCAATCCAAACTAGGCTTTAGGACAATCTACGAACAATTCCGACCTACAAATGTCCAATTTACTTTAAGAGAGTAACTCAAACAAGTTTATAGCTCAACCCAACACAATTCCATTTGAGAGCTTCTATAATCTAGTTCGAGTTTATTAAATTTTCTAACTAATGGAACTTTTGAACTTATTAAACATCTACGATTTTGGAACTTCGGTAAAGAATATATTATTTTGTTTTAACCTATTGATCATAAATATATATCAATTATTGTTGATCATGTCGATAAAAAAAAAGAGTATATTAAAGCTTAAATCGTAAATTTGATGTATTACACAAACTTGGTTTTGAAGCTTAGAGTTATGGTACAAAAGCATAGGGAATGTGATTCCCCTCCTTCCATCATACCTATCTTCTACTATCTTTTTGCTTTCATTAAAGGGGAAATTCACTATTATGTCTTATTTTGCATAAATTCGTAATTTTTATATTAAGTGTGTATTCTTCATGTATTTTATTTGAAGTATGAATACATATTTAGAGTTCTCTAAAACCATAACTACATCAAAAAACTAAAGTTTCCAACTAAAATGAGATTAAGGTGATACAACATCTTCGGTAGAAATTGAGAGTATTTAAATTTTTAATAAAATAAAACAAATTCAAATAATTACATCATATAATTTAATTTATATAAACATAACTTTAGTTAAGCTTAAAGTATATATTTCTGACAAAAGTTATCTATTATACTAAAAAAAACTCTGGCCATTAATAAAAAAGATGGATATAAATTACGTCCAAAATCTTGAACGAAGTTGTTTTGATGAATTACAAACAAAAGCACCAAAACTAAGCTAGCGGATCAATTTGATTCGCCTGTTTCTGGTGGCTGCCTCCATATACAGTCTTCTTATTCTACCCTCTTTAATCTTTCCGCCCTTTGGCATTGGCTCTACTTTTTTTTTTTTTTTTTTTTTTACTTTGGAGTTTGGACAGCTCTACTCTCTCGTCGATTGCGATTTCATCTTCTAAAACCACTCAACCTTCTTTGTCTGTTTCACTGTCATTCCTTCTGAGAAAAGGGTACCACATGGTTGATATGTAGAGGGGGAAAGCGGTCGACTTTATTCTGGGTCTCTTCTCCACTGTGTTCCTCAATATGCGCACCTTCAATCCTTCAAGTTTTTGAGGGTTTTTCCTCCTCAATCCAGCTCCAATCCACAATGGCGAGGATTTGGGTCGCTTTTGGTCTCCTTTTTCTTCTTATTTTTGGTGGGGTTTCTTCTGCTTCAGCCACGCCTCCTGCTAGTAAGTATCATCAAACGAAGAACTACTCATGTTCTCAATCGTCTGATTTTTGGCCTTTTTTCCCACTATGAATGCTGTCTATGGCTCACCCAGCTCACGGCATTTCCACTTTTTGAGCAGAAATTGTTCGAGGGGTTGTTTCGAATGTGGTGTCTTCGCTTGTCAAGAAGCTGTGGTCGATGAAATCCAGCGCCAAAACTGGTACGGATCCTTTTTTTGCCGCCTTGCATTCTTCCATTTTTGCATAGGGAATGTAATTTTTTACTGGGTTTTCTGCTCTATCTTCTCAGCTGTTTCCAGCCGTTCGATGATGAAATTCGAGAGTGGATATACTGTTGAGACGGTGTTTGATGGCAGTAAGCTGGGAATCGATCCTTATTCAGTTGAGGTGTCGCCTAGTGGGGAACTTCTGATCTTGGATGCTGAAAACAGCAATATCTATAAGATCTCAATGCCATTGTCTCGATGTAAGCCACTTTTTGGTTTATTAGCATTGTCATATGATTTATTTTATTTGCCACATGATGAAGATTGAGCTGCATTTTTTTTTTGTTCTTTTCTTTGCATTCTTGATTGCAAGTTTCAAATGAAAGCTTCGTTTCTTTGTTAACTTTCTGCAGGAGTGCATATTTTCCCCTCTGAGTTTCGACTTTCTTGAGCTCTTCATTATTTTTACTTATAGGACACTGTACTTTTGTTTTGGAGAAGGCTCCACGTTTTGGAGTATAATGTACTTTTCTTAGTTCTATCTCTGCTTGCCTCTTCTGGGTTGGGACTTTTTAGATGGTACCAGTTTTGAACTTATATTTCTTCTTATTGCTGTAATTCTTGACCGAATCCCATGGGCTTCTTTTTATGTACTTCCTAGTAAAACCTTGTGCATATTTAATGAGATGCCTTTGAGCTTCCTTAGAAAGGCATACTCCAGTGTTTGTTTGGTTAAGACGTATTCTTTCTTAATCTCTTACTCCAGAAATCAACATTTAACTCATTCTCGAAATCAAGGAAGAAAGAACACAAGCTTTTGTAGGCTTAATAATGAAGGCAATTTACTGAGAGAGAGTTGTGGGATTCGTTGTTCATTATCTGATTAAGATTTTGTAGTTTGTTTGTGTTATGAAAGTGTATGTATGCATTTTCTGTGCTTTCTAATGAAGTTGCTGCAATCTTATCTTTTGGACAATTTTCAGTTAGCAGACCAAAGCTGGTTTCGGGATCACCAGAAGGATACTCTGGACATGTTGATGGTCATCCAAGAGAAGCGAGAATGAACCATCCGAAAGGACTTACTTTGGACGAGAGGGGAAATATATACATTGCAGATACAATGAATATGGCCATCAGAAAGATTAGTGATACAGGTATATTGACAAATATTTTTGAGATTCCCTCTCCAAGCACCCAGAATCCAGTTTCCACTTCGTTTATGTGGTCGGATTCAAATCATTAACAATCTGCTTTAGATTCAGCACATCTTGATCATGAATGTTTCTCAACTTTCACAGTGTCTAAGCACAAGGAATTTGTAGCTGTGTTAATTATCACAGGGTAAGAGCTCATATATATGTGACCAAATCTTTATTAACTGCAGGAGTTACAACTATTGCTGGTGGAAGATGGAACCAAGGGAGTGGTCATATTGATGGTCCAAGTGAAGATGCAAAGTTCTCAAACGATTTTGATGTCGTTTATGTGGGAAGTAGTTGCTCTCTTCTGGTTATAGACAGAGGAAACAAGGCAATTCGAGAGATTGAACTCAACTACGACGACTGCAATACTCAATATGCTGATAGTCTCAACTTAGGTATAAAAAATACCATTATCCCTGTCGTTTTCATTTATCGTTCTTCGCATATAAACCCTTCATCTCTGCCGTTTATTCTCATTGGTGACATGAAGAGTACAATCTCTATGTGCAGGGGTAGTATTGCTGGTTGCTGCCGGTTTTTTCGGTTATCTTCTTGCTCTACTCCAACGTAGAGTGCAGACGATGTTTTCTAATCCACAGAAGGTACCTCAAGATTCAGTTTTCTTCTTGGAATTTGGTTTTTGTTGCCTCACATTAGCTTCTACTATTCTTTTAGTCTTTGTCGTCTCTACTATCCTAGGCAGATTGTGCATCTATGTATTTCGTATTAAATAAAATCCATTTCAGATCATCCAAACCGAATCGAAATGTAAGCGACTCAGATATCCTATTAGAAACCAGTTGGGTTATGTTAACAGATTAATATTTCATTGAAGATCTTCAGTTGGATGAAAATAAAATGGAATCTTACTTTCTGTCATATTCAAAACTTATCTCTCTCTTTCTTTTTTGGATGGTAGGATACAAGAAGTCATCAAATGATGAAAGCTACACCAGTTTCACATTACCAAAGACCTCCTCTCAAGTCAGTGAGGCCTTCCTTGATTCCAAGTGAAGATGAACCAGAGAAACTGGAGGAAGGCTTCTTTGGTTCGCTTGGGAGGCTTGTCGTCAACAGCGGCTCATCTGTGGCTGATATTTTTGGGGGATTGCTGTCTGGATTTCGAAGGAAGCCTCTCAATCATCAGATCCATCAGCAGTTTCAACCAGTTAACAGACATCCAAATACTTGGCCCTTGCAAGAAAGTTTTGTGATTCGAGATGAAGACGAGCCACCATCCATTGAATCGAAAACTCCAACAACCAAAAAAACCTATCCATTTATGACACAAGAACTCGATCGATCCCACCATTTTAAGCCAAACAGGAGCTACTTTAGCGGGTGGGATGGTGAATTCCATCAACAGCAGCAACAACAACAGCAGATACAACATCATCAACAACAACAGCAGATACAACATCATCAACAACAACAATTCCATCAGCAGCAGCAACAACAACAGCATCAGCAACAGCAGCAATATCATCATCGCCAATACTCGTCTGGCCCAACGACCTACTACGAGAAGAGCTGCGAGACGAATGAAATTGTGTTCGGTGCAATTCAAGAACAAGATGGACGCCGTGAAGCCATGGTCATCAAGGCTGTCGATTACGGAGATCCGAGATACAACCATCACAACATTCGAGCTCGATATAGCTATACCAGTAATCCCAACTCTTATTGACAAGAAACAGAAGGTATATCTTTCAATGCTTCGAGTTAGTGAAATGGGGAATATATGTGGGCGTAGGATTAGGAGTCCAGGATATGTCTTGTTTGTTTAAGCCAAAGTCCAAACCATGTTTTTATGGGGAGGAATGCTAGTTTTCGTAGAGTTCATGCATAATGATATATGTAGTATTCATCTGGTCGCTCGAAATCAAGGATACTTGTGCTTGTTAACATCTCGTCCCCTCGTATCGTGCACTGTAAAAACTCATAAAACAAAAGGAATCCTGAACGTCTTGGTTGCAAGACTTCATATCTGTAATGTTGGGTCTCTCTTACCATATTTTGATCCCATCTTTGCGAGTTTTTTTTTACTGCCAAATATTTAGTAAAGAAAAGGGATGAAATTGATAGTTTATGGGTGGCTTTTTTTTTAAAGAATACATATTAACTTTTTTTTTTCCTTCTTAATCATGATTCTTAGAGCTTTTAATAATTTGAAGCAAGAGAAATGAAAAAGGTAAGATAGAGTTCCAAAATGAGAGTGAAAAAGTAAAAGGCAAAAGAAAATGATGCCCTTATAGACTAAAGTTTTTGCAAGTTGTAGAGTATGATAAAAATATGCAAAAGTTGTAAATAATTTCCTCAATAATAAGAACAAAGGCAAATGCAAAATATTTTTGTGGGCCAAACTTGACAATAATGAAGAATGCAATGATGTATATAAGTGTCATTAAATGGCCTATGGCCTATGCCTCAAACACTGACTTGATAATGAAATATGCAATGATGCATACATATCTCCTTAAATAGCCTATGCCTCGAATACCCACCTAGATTCGACCTATCCAAAAATACTATTGAAATTTTTTACATTTTACATTTTACGTTGTATATAAAAATTACTCTCAAAAACTCTAGTACTGTTGTTGAATCTTAGCAGCTTCGCCATGAATATGATCAACCTCTCCCTGCTCTAAAATCTCTCTCCTTAAAAATGCCTCAGTAGACGATATGGATGCTGGTGGGATTGGCCTTTGTCTTGTATTTTTTGTCTTTCGACGGCGACAATTTGGTAGTTAGAAAATGGCTTCAAACATGCTTTTCACACCCTTAATTTCAACCGCTGGCCTTAAAAAAAAAAGAGTATACATATTTATGGTTGTATTATGCTAATGTTTACAAGACTAACTTATTTGACGCGGATTTTGAAATCATTTCACTTATTTGGATAGATAAAGGAAAACGAATTTAAAATCATGATTTTAAATTCTGTTTTTAGTTAGAATATTTTTCATTCCAAATAGATCGGATTTGAGAGGACTTTATATTTAAACCTTATCATATATAACCTCATTGTTTTGTAATCCTAAATCAAATTAATTTCAAATTTTGATTTGTTTTTTTAGTTCTAGTAACTATAAACCGACTCTCCTTGTTTTTTTTTTTAATTCCCATCCTAAATCTGATTTTCTATTCTTATATGTTTATTATTTTTTGGTATGTTTTTTTTATCCTTTTGCTTTTATTTTTTAGTACTGCATATCGTTAAAATAACTATGATAAAAAAAAGCATATTACTACGAATAAATTGAAATAGTTTGATTTAAAGTTTTTTTTAATATTTGATTAAAGACATTTGCAATTTTTTTTAGTTTTGTTTCTAAAATAATTGTGACATTGACAATTTTTAATTTTTGTTAGGTTGATTTCATTAAATTATTTATTATTACATGATTAAAATTACTAGTTTATATTAAAACATTATATTATAAATAATATAATACTCTGCAAAATATTAAAGACATAATAGTAAAATATTATAATTTCTTTTCATTTCTGGTGAAGATACAAACAATAAATTTTAATTTCAATGATTTAGAATCATTTGGTCCCGAACGCAATTAAGAATTTGAAATCATTTCCATTGTTTAAAATCATGGAATTACAAATCATTTCCTACCAATTCCCGATGACAAACGGAGCCTAAAATTAATGATTCGTCTAGACATAAAATTGAATTTTAAGAATCTTAAACTAGAAGAGTATGGTGTTGGAAAATCAAAAAGTAAGAAATTTTCATGGTTCATGGAAAAGACTTTCCACTTTGAATACCAAAATTTGATTTTATTTTGTGAATAGTTTTTTTCTTTTTACTTCGACTCCCTTTTCCATAAAACAAACAAAATACAAAATTAAATAGTTCGAATTTTGTTGTGCTCATCATTTTCACTCATTTGAATATGTTGTTTTTGTTTCTATATTTTACAGAAAAATTTATTCAAATTCTTGTTGTTATATTTTTATTATATATTTCAATATAAATCTTAATTGACATATCATTGAATTTGTATTTTAAATATGTGAATCGAACGTGAAGTTGTATAAAAATTTAATAACTATGTTAAAAGACAGACTTTTACCGATGGTTTGAGATCTTTAAACATGACATTTAACATATAAAAATTAATTTTGGATTAAAAGAATATTTTAATTAGATTCGTTTTAGCTTTTCACGCTGAGAACACAAAATTTTCATATTAAAAACCTCAATTAAATGAGATTTGTGTCGGGTAGAAACTTAATTCTAAATTCACTTTAACCACTTGAATTATACTTGATTTGACCTATAATATTTTTGTATTGATACAAACCATCTCAGATAATACAGTCTCACGGTTGGTCACCAAATCGATCGATTAGGCTGAATCGATGTAAAACCGAACCAAAGTGAGCCGATTTACACCCGTTTGCCTGAGATGGAGCGAGGCAGAGGGAAGTTCAGCGTATCAGACGATAGTGGTGGTGATGAAAAGAGGCGCGCAGCATTTTCCGCAGTAGGGACCTTCCAACGACATTGACTTACCCTCTACACCATTCCATCACCAACTTGAGGGACTGCTGTGTCCTTATTGTCGATTAATCCAACCAATTCAAATTGGGAAACCCGAAATCGGGTACGGCCAAAACGAGCCCATTATCCTCTGTTTCGATGGTTGAAACTTCTTCACTCCTCCCCACGTACCCTCTTCCACATATGCCACTCTCTTCATCTCTTCTGTAGTTGTTCCATTCGACTCTCCAGCTTCTTCGACGTTGTCTTTGGCCTCTGCTCTCGCGCATTAGCGTCGCCCGGTCATGGATAGGACGAGATAAATTAAAAGACGAGGACCCTTTCCCCTTTGACACTGTTCTCATCTGAGCAACGAATACCTGGTAATGAATTTTCGTTTTTAGTACTGTTCTATGAATGTTACTCTGTTGCGTGTACAAGAAGATGAAGAAAAATGAACCCGTCTTCCCTTTTTTGTCGTTGGTAAATGGTGTAAAGGAAACAGGGAAAATGTAAAGAACGATTGCCAATTGGTTGAACAAAATTGCAAGCTGAATTGAATCGACTCATAATCAGCGTAGGGATGCAAGATATACGGGTGGGGTGGGGATTTGTCAGCTATTGGAAATACACCTGATTGTTTGATGGGTTTCCTTTGTCATAGAGGGGATGAGTATTTCCATTCTATACTTTTCCTTCTATCTAAAAAACACGAGCTGTTTTGCAGCTTGGAGAGTAGCGAATGTTGGGGGCGACAACAAGAAGGCGGTGCTTCCCTGGTGCCCAATTCATTGCATCTTTTGGACTAGTGGATGTGCCTTTAAGCCTAGTTTGAATCCTCACAATATCTGAGAAGTTAGGGGTCAGCTAGTAACCATGGAAAACGGTAATAGACACATGTTGTGTTTTAATACGACGTTTAAACAACATTGAAGTTGTTTGGATCTATGGCGAGTGCTCAAACTGTGGGTTGAATGTTTGAAAAGAATGCGATAAGCATTTCTATCATGTAAAACTAAAAATGTTTATGGGTTGTTATGGGTGCTTTTGAAGGTAATGGCACATTGAAATACTCGCAGACCGCCTATGAAGAGGCATTGGATGCACTATCCTCTTTGATTGTCAACCGTAGACGATGTGATAAATCTGGAGATCGATTTGAGTTGATGTTCGAGTATGTAAAGGTATTACTGAAACTTAACACTTCATTATTGCTGAGTGTACTTGGGCTGATGATTATTGAGTTCACTTAATATATTAGATGCTGGATTTGGAGGAGCCCATGTTGCAGATGAAGGTCATTCATGTCGCTGGCACAAAAGGCAAGGTACCAATTTTCTTTTTCGAAAGAAATATTTTCACAGCACAAAGGGATTGTAGTCATGTATAGACGTTTATAGTTTCTTCATCTGTTTTATTAGAACATCCATTTGTGCTATATTTTATGTATGTAAACACTTCGACGCCATTTTATTCTGTTATCATAAATTTTAATGAAATAACCAGATTTCTTAGTTATTTACTTTCAAGTATATTACATATTTATGAAAATAAAAGGGATATTAGATGTATGTTACAAACTTCTTTTAGAAAATTAATTTAGTTTAAAAGTTTTGTTTCTTGTAAAAATAAGGGTTATGGTTTTATACTTTTACGTCTCATTATATAGCTTACACCTTACACTTTGATTTTATTTGATAACTAGAGGTACATAATGGTTCTGGTTGAGAATGCAATCAATATATAAATTTATCTCAATCTAAAGCGTTTTAGGTCTAATAATAATTTAACAAGATATCAAAGCAAGAAGTATGAAAATCAAACTCCTGTGCATATTATTTCCTTCCCATTTCATATTAAGAATTCATGTGTAGTGCCTTGTGTTGATATCTAAGCTGACATGTGGGATGTAATGTTGAGATTTTTTTTTTTTTTTTGCAGAGGATTTCATTTTTTAACCTACTTTGTATTAGACTGTTTTTCAAATTCTGTTTTGTGACTTTCAATTTCTTGCACACTGCTAATTGTCAATTGAAGAAGATTTTTACTTATTTGCTTAGAAATCTATCATTGAGATTGCTTGAAAATCATATTGTGTTAACTGAACTTTTTTCTTTTTGTTGGGACTTGCATAGGGATCCACGTGCACCTTTACTGAATCCATATTGCGTAATTGTGGCTTCCACACTGGCCTTTTCACTTCGCCTCATCTTATTGATATCCGAGAAAGATTTCGCCTGGATGGGTAACTATTTTACATATTACATAGTTTGGTCGTTCTTTTTTTTTTAGATGAGGCAGATGGTTGTTCTCATTGTAAAGACAATGATTTTCAACTGCTTGAACAACTTGCATCACATTATCTAATTTTATTTCTGGACCAAGTGCTTTTGTTCGAAAAGTTTAAGCTCTTTTTCAATTTTGTAGTTGCAGACTCTTGAGTGCCCTTCTGATAATTGGTTATAAATGTTGTTTTAATGATTATTTTTTGTTTCAATTGGTTGTTGCAGTATCGACATTAGTGAAGAGAAATTTTTAACCTATTTCTGGTGGTGCTATAATAGGTTAAAGGTATTTTCCTTGTCATTTTGATTTACTATTATTTTTCTGAGGCATAAGTTCATCTAATGGATAACATTTATGCTGCTTTGAATTTAATTGCACATGCAAAAGTTGTATTTAGATTCCGAGTTGCTTATTCTTATAGCAAAGAGAATTTTGAACACTATAAAACTAAATTCTGAACTTAACTAAACTAATTCTATATGGCTATTTCGTAATTTATTTCCGCTTAATCAAAGCAACTCTTATAGGGGGAAAAAATCTGCTATGTAGAACTGACGGATGTTGTGTCATTTTGTTGCATGCCAGAATATATTGGAATATTGATTCTTATGTTATATTTATTATGAGTGTGTAACACAAGGTTAGATAGTGGAAGGGAGATTGAAACTTTGTAGCTAGAATCATGTATTTGGAGTTTGAGCTTCAAGTAGGGTAAGATCTATAACCAACCTATTAAAGAATTATATTGGCTTTTTGTATCTTTCACTAGAAACAGAATGTTTCACTGATATTAAAAAAAAGTCACGAGAAGAATAACAGGCTTCTTTATGTTATCAAGGTTATGAGACAGGGTAACAAATACAATCTTAGAATAAATCCGGGTTCATTTCAAAAGGCCCCTCAACAAGAATTAATTTCACTATAAGAATAAATACAAAAAGGGCTTGATGTGAAATACCCTAAAGAAGTATGACTTTTGGTCCAATCCGTCCTTTCACTCCAACATAATGAATTATGTTGGATTTGATTGAGCATCTGCCACATATCTTATATTTAATCTAATAAGTTTTGTGCATTACATTGTCTTTAAGCTTTATTTCTAACTCTTTCGAGCTCAAATCTAGAGGAAATTGGTCATGCTGTTATTATTTTTGCATCCAGATTAATTATGGACAGTTATCCAACTGTATTGTATCTCTCAGAGTACTAAAAACTTACATGCTGGCAATCCTGTATTGATATGATAACTAAAGTGGTTCCATTTAGGATTTGTTGGACTATCAATTTTCCTAGCTGTTCACTATGATTCTATATGATTTTTATTTTCTGCAGGAAAAGACTAGTAAGGATATACCAATGCCTCAATTGTTTCGCTTCCTTGCATTACTTGCGTTCAAAATATTTTCAGATGAGCAGGTTTGATGTGTACTTTTTATTTTAATCTTTTTTTGGACAGGCTGTCTTTGCTCGATTTATTAGGTGGATTAGAAAGATAATATTTTATTGCCATCAATGAAGGTGGATGTAGCTATCTTGGAGGTTGGTTTAGGTGGAACTTTCGATGCTACAAATGTGGTATGCTCATTCTCTTTTGGTTTGAATAAATAAACTATTACGTGGCATTTCAGAGAATTTGTTCTTCATCTATTATTTAAAGTAGAAACCTTACATCAAAGTATGGCCATTATAAGATCCTCTAATGTCTCAGGTCCGGGCACCCATTGTGTGTGGTATAGCTTCTCTTGGTTACGACCACATGGAACTTCTTGGTTAGCCTCCTCTTAACCTTGATGGTTGTTTTCCTGGAAAGTAAATGATTTTAACTGGTTGCTTTTAGTTTGGCTTATGCATGAGCATAGACGTTTTGTCTCCTGTTTGATAAGTGCTCCAATTCACGTTTCATATGTTTTTTAAATTGTTGCTTTCTTTCTGTTTTGCATTTGTCGAAATAGGAAATACTCTTGGTGAGATAGCTTCGGAGAAAGCTGGTATCTTCAAGGTTTGCTTCAAAAGACTTTCCTCAAAGCACAAACGTCTTGGAATAATCAATTAATGTTTGTTGTCTTCCTTTTCCTTTGGTGCAGCGTGGTGTTCCAGCTTTTACCGTAGTTCAACCTGATGAAGCCATGAATGTGCTTAGAGATAAGGCTTCACGGTTGGATGTATGTGCATGGTTCTTCCATTAACTAGTTCAGTTCATTCACAAAAACACATGCATGACTTCCTTTGTACCATTACTAGAAGAGCTGACACATAAAACCTAAATTTAATTTTATTACACCCTTGTTAGTAGCCATTGTTCATAGCACCTTATATTTGAAACAGTGTCATGTTAACTTTGGATGCTCTGAATTTTCTTTCTTTGCTAGGCCATATGCGAGCTGAAATTATTTCTTGTAGTAATCTATGCTTCTGTATGTCTCACATGGCAATGTAACTACTAAATTACATCAATTTGTTAGCCGTTTTGTTTTTCTTTTCTTTTGGTTTCTGTTTTTTTTTAGGATTCCTGATAAGGTAACAGTATTTTTGATTGCGCAAGGCTGATTGTTACTCTACCAGCTAGGAGGTTTACGGTACAACCTTTCCTCTAAATGAACTGCAACAATTTTGCACATCATAGGTACAACTAACAGTAGTGCCGTCGTTGGATCCTGAGCTACTACATGGTCATAAACTTGGGCTTGAAGGCGAGCACCAGTATCTAAATGCTGGTCTTGCTATTGCCCTATCCTCCGCTTGGCTCCAGAGGACTGGCCATTCCAAGCTGTCATACATGGAACAGAGTGTAAGTTCTACACATGAGATTTTTCTTCTATAACATTATCTCGTGTTTTATGATTCTTTTTCCTTTTAATAATATGTTATCAGAGGTCTTTGCCCGAGCAGTTCATAGAAGGGCTTACAACTGCCAGCTTTGAAGGACGAGCACAAATTGTTCCTGATAGATATATTGATATTGAATCCCCGGGAGATCTTGTCTTTTATTTGGATGGAGCCCATAGTCCAGAGAGTATGGAGGCTTGCGGTAGATGGTTTTCTGCTGTGATGAAAGATAACCAGCGAGGCACCTTAAATTATCAGTTGGAGGATAATGGTATATCTTCAAATAAACTTCTTCAAGAAAATCAGAATGATGAAGCAAGGAAGACATCTGTGCCGGTAAATTTCAACTTTAGTTCCACTCTTCCAAGTTCATTTTATTGTTTGTCAAGAAAAAGAGGATTATAAATATTTAAATTAGATAGTTTCAGGTTGAATACCTATTGAGAAGGCATTGTTCGCCTGCAATCAATGTATCAAAAAGTGGGAGATCAGGGAGCAATGAATTTTCTTTGCTAGTATTAACAAAATATAACTCCCCTAGCATTTCTCCCCTTTCCTCTTCTTGTTTCACCCTATAGCCTCTTCTAGCAGCCTCTACTGTTGCTCTCTTCTCTGTATTCTTAGTGTTACAGCCGTCTATTACTCATAGCATAAGGGATTCCAGGATTATGATTGAGAATTAAGATTCAGATACCTACTGTTAGGAGTAGGACCCCTTGTTGTCTTCCTTTGGTGCAGCCTGGGGTTCCAGGACTGCAACCTTTCTTAGAGAAGAAGAAGCTCACAAGCTGATCGGTTCCCTCTCTCATCACTATTCCTTTGAGTAATAGGCTAATAGCACAAGGGAAAAATAGTTCAATCTCTTTGACACATCTTACTTCCTTACTAGATTTTATTCATGTACAATTATTTGACTCTAAGTTCATCAGTGTAATGTTTTGACGCTCCTTTTTTAGTTCTACCTTTCATAAAGAGAAGGTATCTGACTCTTTACTCATTTATGCGGTGCTTCAACTTCTTTAGATGCTGACATGCTGTTTAACCTAGTATTGTTGGACATTGTAGGTGCTACTGTTCAATTGTATGTCAGTGCGAGATCCGCAGCTGCTTCTCCCACCTCTGATCAAAACATGTGCGAATAATGGCAAGTATTTCTCAAACTGTTAGAACTAAAAGATCAGGTGATAGATTTTTCGCAGAAGAAGATGTGCCCTAGATCAATAAAATTCCGTAAAAGTTTGCTCATATAATCCAGGTGTCCACTTCAAGAAAGCACTCTTCGTTCCAAATACATCAGTCTTCGACAAGGTTGGAACCCATGCTCTAACAGAAGCAAATGGACAAATTGACCTTTCTTGGCAGTTTAATATTCGAAGAGTATGGGAAAACCTCATCCAATGTGAAAAAGGTATTATTGGCTAACGCTAGTGGTTTATGATGTAACCAAACTTGTTTCTTAAAAGTGCTGGAACCAATCTTTATCCTTCCCCAGATAGATTTTTAGTTAGATACACCATTTTAGCAAGTTTAATTCTTATACCGTGATATTTTGACACAGTAGGCACTGATTCTAAAGGGACCGGTGCTGTACTTGAAGAAGAAACCGATAAACCAGAAGTGGGTGGTAAAAGTTGTGAGAATAGCACAGTATTTCCTTCTCTCCCTGTGGCTATTAGATGGCTCCGAGATAGCATCCTGCAGCAAAACCGGTCAATTCGACTTCAGGTAATTTTGAAGAAAATGAGAATATTTTAGGTTGAGTAATTTAGGAAAATGATTATATCGTATTTGGGAGGCTATGCAACTTATTGGGGAACAGTAAACCTAAGTCAAAGAACTGAAGTTGGCTTTTGTGTTACATGTGTTCCTAAAGTATAAATCATTATCCCCAATATGAGATTTTTAGGCCAAAGGAATTATGAAGCTTGCTGGGAAAAAGAGAGAAAAACAAACTTCCGTTTCTCATTCTATGTCAATTTTTGAGGTTGACGTATCATAACATTGTGAACAAGCATTAATATTTAAATTGGCTGTTTTTCTTCCGCGGTTGTAATTTAAATTGAACTGCTTTTCATTCTTCAGGTTCTTGTAACTGGTTCCTTACATCTTGTGGGAGATGTGTTGAAATTAATCAAGTGAAGCATGTGATCTGTTGGGCGTCCATTTTGAACATTCATCTTCTCAAATTTGCAACAGCAGCAGCACCATATTTGATATATATTAGACAGACTTCAGATAACATTAGTCTTTCCAGACTCCCATTTTTACTAAAGGTACATTTGTTCTCTCTTTCACTGATAATTCCTATGCTTCAGAACTGAGCAATAAAGAAAATGGCAATATATCTGAGTACATTAAGGTTAAACTTCCATAAAAATGTAGCTTTTTTTTATCTGACATTTATGTTACGTTACAATATTTGTTTTCGATTTCAATTCTTTACCTATGATGTATTGGAATAAAAATGAATGGTTTTTGCTAATTATCTGAGTTTGAAAGATTTCTTTTTCTTAGGACTCAATGAAAGTGTGGTTCTGTCATGTCTTTGTTTGTCACATTATCTTTTTAGTCCATGGTTCCTGGGATGCCTTTTTTTTCTAGAGAAAGCAAAGCTCGAACAAGTACAATATTTACAGTAAATGAAATAAATATTCTTAAAAAAAAAAAAGAAAACTAAAAAGAGATCCACAAGACAGACGTAGAATGAGGCAGGCCAAATTTAATCAGTATTGTGGGCTACACACCTGGAGAATGACAAAATTATTCCATATGCTGGCACCTTAAAAACAACTAATAACCTTTGTAACTCATCCCCAAATAGAAAGAAAGGAATCTTGACAATTAAAACATGAAGTCAAGAATTCTCTGTCTGGTTAGTAGTTGTATAACTATAGTTCATCATGTATAATAGTAGATATTGAAAATAGGTATAAGGTTTTAACAAAAAAGCAATGTAGAAAATTTTCAAACTCGCTAATATAAAAGAAAATCAGACCTTGAACAAAATTAAGCTCATTTATTAGTGTATAAAGTCTGACTATTGTATCAACCTATCAAAACTTTTAAATTTCAAAAAAATTTCAACTCTAATGTCGTTTTTCTTTGAAACATTAATATCTTTTCACTTTTCTCATAAGTCATAAGTTACTCCTATATATATATATATATATATATATATTTTAAAGTTCAAAGAAGGTAAACTTATTTTTTATTTTTAGTGTTTCAAAAAGGAAAAAGAAAGAAGGGGAAGAGGAAAATGATTGACAAATGTGGACCAGAAAATGGAAGAAAGAAAAAACATCTGGCTGAGTGACAATTTTGGGTAAATATTGACTAATTTCCAGCGAGTTTTCCGTTGTAAAACTTTTGTTCCTCCGCTTCTCATATAATCCTCCAAAATCAACAAACTCCGAAGAGAAAATAGAAGAGAGAGAAGCCAAAGGGCCACAATTGATTTGCAGAGAAACCACTTTTCTGCAAATCAATTTCCCCAGAAGCACAAACCCTACGCCCTCGATTCTCTCCCTCTTAATGTCTGTTCCTCAATCCCAATCCCCCGACCTCTCCTCCGACGAAAATGGCTTCCACCACGCCGACGACCTTCACGAATCGGCCTTCGCCAGCCGCAGCTGCTGCCTCTGGCTCCCTTGCCTGAGGTCCAATCCCTCGCAGGCCGGCTCCATGTGGTGGGAGCGGATCCGCACCTCCGAGCACGACGACGACTGGTGGCTCAGGGGCTGGAGGAGGATCCGAGGATGGTCCGAGATCGTCGCCGGCCCCAAATGGAAGACCTTCATCCGTCAATTCAACAAGAGCCCTCGCAATCGCCAATCCACCTTCCGCTACGACCCTCTCAGCTATTCTCTCAATTTCGATGAAGGTCCCGTCCGCGACGATCCTTTCTACGAAGACCATAAGCGCCGCGATTTCTCCACTCGCTTTGCTGCCATGCCGTCATCCGCTAAATCCTCCATGGACCTCGGCAAGGACGGACTCTCCTTCATATGATAAATCGATGGAAACCGCATGGGTCTGGACTAATCTCGATCAACTTGATTGCCTCGCCAGAGCCGTCGACTGAACTACAGCGATCCGGCGGAGGAGGAAAACGGAAGTTTACGGATCTTGGGACCGTGGAAATATGAATGGTGGGTTGATTTGGAGCCAACGTTAAAAACAAAAAAATAAAAATAAAAAAAAACAAAAAATAAATCAGTAATCATTTTTTATTCGTTTATTCTTTTTCCTCTAAAATATGAAGAATATAATAATTTTGTAAATCTAAAATTATAAATTGTATACCATGATTTTTTTGTACTATAATTTTGCCTTGTCGACAAGATGCGTTTAGTTCGATCTAAAAATAAGAGATTCATCATTATTTTATACTATTATATAATTTACAATATGTTATGTTTTACCTATTTTAATTTTAGCATATCATATTTATTAAAACTTTTATTGTATTTCAAAATTTCAAATTTAAAATCTAAAAATATAAAACTATCATTTTCAAGATTTCCACCATTTGAATCACACAATCTAAAAATAGGTTTTAAAAAACAAAATCTATCAAATACGTATTCACTAGATTTATTCAAATATCTAAGCCTAACTATACTCAAATTTGTAATATTTCATCATATTTTAAACCTTTGGCATGAAAGAAAGTATAAAGTCAAAATGTAATTTCAACCAAGATAAGGACAATAATGAAAATTTTCTTCTATTTTATGAAATATTTCATTTTCCTCCTTAAACAATGGATTTCAATTTCTCAACTTTTGTAGCTATCAAAATAGCTGTCCAATTTATCCAACTTTTTTCCCCAAGTCATTTGGTTCACACTGATCCCACCTTTCATTTATCTTTAATAATGTTATCCAAAACCAACTCTACTTTCTCAAAATTTACCTCTAATCCCCTTCTCTTGTCATAAAAAATACACTTAATTACTCTTCATTTCTTTTCTTAAAAATTTTCCAAATATAAAAGTACAAATATCAAAATAAACCAAAACTAAAAATACAGTGATCAAAATAGTATCTAAACTTTAAAAAATCTTCTGGGAGAGGTCAACATTCAAACTCGCTGACCTATTTCTCCCCTTCAATGTAAACAAAATTATAGACTTCAAAGAACAGCTCAACTGATCACATTTAAGACCAAAAAAGAAAACAAAAGGTCGTCAGTCAATTAATTATATAATAACTATTTAGTTAGTTCAACATCTTCACATGGGAAGATAAGGAAAAAGAAGGAAACGGAACCCATTTGCAACTGCTAAACACCTCACTTGCGAACCTAAACATAGCTCAACTGGTTAACGTATATATCATCGACCACAAGATCAAAAGTTCAGATCTACCCATGTTGAACTCAAGAAAGAAAAAAAATCACGCCCACTTTTTGAATCAAAACCTGCTCTTTCATTCACAAGATGCATTTTCATTCTATCAACTTCAAAACCTTCATGGATCCCACCACCACTCTCTCTCTCTTACACTTCAAAAACCACTTGTTTTCAAAGCAAGAGGGGCCTCCTCCCTCCCTCATAAAAGAAAAGCCTCTTCCAATCAACACAAAAGAAGGGGAAGAGAGAGAGAGGGCAAGTGCCTCAAAAGGCATGAAGAAAGCAAAAGGACATGGTCCACTCATTGACACATCTTACACAGATGATAATTGCTGGGACAGGGCAATGAGAGACACTGCTTTTGGAGCCTTCTTCTCTGCTTTGGAAGATTTTAACATACATCTAAATTTTACATGGTTCTCTTCTCTTCTTTGGAGATTTGAAACAGCCAAAAAAATGTAAAAAGCCCCAACATGTACAATTTCCAGAAACTGGGGCTTCAAAAGTGTTCGAATGATGAGATGTGTGCAATGATCAGAAGAGATATGGTAACAATGACGAAAAATTTAGAAACTGAAAAAGAATAGGCATTATGACCTTTGTAGGCCTCCAAAATTTAACATCAAAATGATTCATAGGATCTAATCTACTACACTACACTAGCAGAGTTCATGTTGATTGCTCCAACTTTCATGAATCATGTTTATTAGTGTTCGAGACATCACCGCTCTTCCTATTCTAGAAATACTATAGTGCCATTCAAATGTCGAAAAATAGCTCAGAAGAAAAGGATGAGATTTCTGATTTCAGTGGTAGGAGGACTGTTGAGCATTCTTGTCATAATCAATAGCTCACAAGTTAGCACCATGAAAATTTCAAATACAAAAATCTAAGTAGATACAACAAACATTGATAAGGATCATTTTCAATTTCAACCCAAAAAAGGAAAGAAAAAAAAACAGTTTTGAGGTCATTTTTATTTTATCATGGCCCTTGTGTTTGCCTCAACCATGGCAAGTCCATATTTAGAGAAGAAGGCATACCTATCTGCGGTTCGGTAGAACTCGCGAACTTCCCCTTTTTAGACCAAAGCCAGATCTTCGAAACGGAGTAACTCTCTCCTTTAACTACACTATTCAGCTTCTTTCCATCCAAGTCTGCTTGGACTGGAGAGATGCTATTTGGTTCTGWATCTTTGGAGAGCTGTTTATTATCACCCTCTCGTCGAGCTTTAGACAAGGCGATTCTGAGGTCAGCGTCGATAACAACGTATTGATACGATCCCATTGAATAACATCTCCTAGCATCCAAATTACTACTACTGGTCTCTCCAACTTCAGTCTCTACAGGCTCGGCCGGATTCATCCTCCTGAATTTTCCAAGTCTCACAGGGAAAACCCCCTTCTCATTCACTACCTCTTGAATTTCCATTGTTTTCTGACAAGTAGGGAACCTGCGATCTGCATTCCCAGAACACTCATCTTCGTCTCCCAGATCGTCGAAATCAAACATCGGATTTTCAATCGAGAACCCGGGGTTAAAGAGGGTTCCTCGACAAAGAGGACACGTTGAATTTGACAAGAGCCAAGTGTCTATACAGTTGATATGAAAGGCATGGCTGCACATAGGAAGTAATCTTAGTTGGTCCTTCTCAGAAAACTCACACAAACAAACAGCACAATCAAATGGCTCCTTCAGACCCACTATTTCTTTATACTGGAAAACAGGAAGTGCATCTATAAAAGCTTGATCTAAACCAGAATCATGGAGATGGAAGAGCTGCTGCAGCTGTCTCTGAAGTGCATCAGAAGGAGAAAGTTCTGGGTTTCTGTTAGATTGAGAGGAGGCTGAGGAAGATGGGTGCTTTATAAGGAATCTAACAAGAAGATGGAGCAAACCAGAGATGAAAAACAAAACAGCCAAAATGACTATGATAAAAAGAACTGCTGGACTTATCCTCGTGCCAGACGAGGTTGCAGAAGACGATGCAGGTGGGGTTGGTTCCTTATTGTAAGTTCCAACAAAAGGGGACGAAGAAGAATCCGCCATGGGAGGAGGGTAGCTCAGAAACCCATCCTTCTGAAAGATTTGATGCCGAATCGGAGCCATCTTCAAATGGGTTTGCTCCAAAAACCACTTTTGACATTCCACAGATCAAAAAACTAAAAACCATACCATACCCCCCTTTCTCCGCTCAGAGATCGAACAAAATCCAATCCCTAAACTAGTAAACTCCAGTAATGCAAGAACCCATAAACCCCACAAGTTTCCTACTCCGATTTGATATATAAAGCGATTGCAAAAGCAGTAGCAATAGCAACCAGAAGTGTCACAAGACAGAACCGACCTCTTTTTTAAACTAATGAGAAAGAAAAGAATATATAATATATTCAAAACTCACCAAACTGACTCGGAGAGTATACACCACCGTCTATGTATTTTTTTAATTCGATGCCCTCTTTCCCCAAAAGCCTCTGAAATAGAACGGTGGAGCTTCACTGAGAAAAGAAAAACCCTAAAACAGAGAACTTCGGGGGGAAGAATTAGAAATAGGCCAAAAGAGAAGATGGGTTTCTCTAATCTCTGGGGAAGAACCCTTCAGTTCTCCCTCGTTTGTCTCTTTCGGTGAGAATGAGAGAGAACCAGAAGAGTGACAGAGACATGAGTTGAGGGAAAAAGAAGGGGGAATTGCAGAAGACGCGCGAGGTGAACGCGTGGGGGAAGGATTGGTCAACCATAGAGACAAATTGCTGTGTCCAAGAGTTGGGCTTGAAGAGAAGAAGAGGGGCTGGATTGGATTCCACCATCATGTCCACTGTAATTGTAATGGTTGGATTTGGTAACAAGACAGCGGGGAGAAATATGATACTGTTTGAAATAAGATCACACTTAAATATATAGTTTAATTAGTTAAAATATATATTTTCGATAAAGTTGAAATTTCAGATCAAATTAAGGGAAATTTGTGGCCTTTATTTGGAGTTATTTATCACCTAAAATAGCTAGATTGCTTTGGTTCAAGACATTACTTGAAGTTTGGGTTAGTAGTTGGTTCTTTCAAGGATGTAACATGTGAATGGTTTTTTCAAAAAAAAAAAAAAAAAGAAGAATTGGGCTCAAACATTTCAAATATATAATGATAAAATATAAATAAACTAATTGAAACAATTGACACTTGGCTTGAATCCTTACCGCTTGTATTAGTACAGTCAAATTCACCCATGTGCTCATTTCAAGAGTTAAAATTTTGAAGTTGAATTTTTTTGGATGATAATTACATCTTAGTTAGGTCATTAAGAAAGACAATCAAGGAATTTGAATGTGATGCTCCACAAGCAATCATGTGGGTTTTGTTGGCAATTAGCCACTTTTGATTATATTTGTGATGCATTATGGTTTTCCTTTTGTATGGATACCCCTTTGTGATTGTCATATTGAAAGTAAGTGGGAGGGAAAGTAAAGGAATAGTAATTTGATGACAAGTTTGATTTCTTTGTTTTCTTTGAATGCAAATTTAATTTGCAAGTGGAGTGCTTCATAAATGTCAACAAAAGTTAAATCCAAAAGTTTTCACTTTTTCTTCCATTATTATTTTTTTTTATTAAAAAGTTTTCAACTTTTTTTTTCTTTTCATCAAAATCTTTATATAGCTTAGGTTTATGGTAAATAATTCTTACTTAATAAAATATTAGTTAAGAACACAATCACTCTCAACTCAACCTCCACCTCTTTCCATTATACTTTTGTAAACAATTATTTGATAAATAGGCAGAAGTTTTGAAACTATAGGTGGTACAATAATTTCATATTATACCACTGTTATAGTGTACACAAATTAAAAAAAAATGTTGGACAATAGTTATCTCTTGCCTAATTAAATTATGGTCGGCATGTAATAAAGAAGAGATGTATTTAAAATCAAATTGAACTACAACCACCTCGATTAATAAATTACTTAATTGAAAAAAAAAACAAAAGAACGAAGGAATGGAAAAATGACAGAAGAAAAGATAAAATTTGGAGTTGCTTGAATAACGATATATACCTTAATCAATTAAATTATATTCAAATTGGCATAATTAATAAATTACTTTTTTTTAAACATAATTTTCTTCTCAATAAAACATGTGGGAAATCAAACTCACAATCTTTTGGATAGAAATATTGTCAATTACTGCTGAGTTATGCTTTGACAAACATAATAAATTACTTAATTGAAGAAAACAAAAAGAATGAATGAATGAAAAAATGACAAATGAAAAGACAAAATAAGGAGAGAAAATTATAGCCAAAACGAGCATAGAGTAATTGACATATATCTTCGATCTCCAAACCACATCTTAGAGAAAATTGTTCCCCTTGTAATCCCATTTATATATGTTATATATGATGCATGTACATATAAATGAATTTAGTTTTTTCTAAAAAGATAGAATTTAATTTATTGTTTTCAAAAGTGCAAATGAACAAATGGTTTGATGAATGAATTGAATATATATTATTTATTTATTTAGGAAGATGAATGAATTGAAATGAAATATTTGAAAAAAAAATTCCAATAGATATCTTAATTTTTAGAGCATCTATTTAGTTCTCTGTACTTTGAAATAATTTTAATAAGTCTCTAAATTTTCAATTTCACGTATAACAGGTTCATGTCGTTAATCAACTTAAAAACATTATATAAACGTAAACTTGCCACAACTATGTCAATTACTAGTGAGCTATGTTCGTTTTTGACAACTTTAAAAGTTATTAGTAAACTTTTCCAAGTAAATGAGTTTAGTAGATACCAATGTGAAAGTTTAAAGGTCAACTTGTAAATGTTGAATTGAGTACTCTCAGTCTCTCTGCAACGTCTCCCATAAAATTTCTTCCCATTAATTTCAAAGCTCAGAATTCAGAAATGATGGAGCTTTCCTCTTCTTCCTCCTTGATTGCATCAACAATGGCAGCAACTTGGTCCATACTCGGCCTGGCATTGGGAGAACTGTCCACACATTTCACAGCAACCACCAACAAATTCACCATCCTCTCTTCACTTGCTGCTTCCACCATTAAAGCACTGTCCAAAACTTCTGCTGTCCATTCTTCTCTGAGCACAGTTTTTACCCACTCTGCCAAACAAACCCCTTTCTCATCCCTTGCAAGCTTTCCTGTGAGGAGCTCCAGGAGGATGAGGCCATAGCCATATACGTCTGATCTGAAGGAGGTGCTGCTGCCATGGCTATGGAAGGCCATGGCCTCCATTAGGCCATACTCGCTGATGCAGGGCTCCATGTTCCAGTTCATCAATATGTTGGAAGATTTCAAGTTCCCATGAGGGATTCCATCTTGTTGTAGGGACTTGTGCATGTGTGATAATGCCTTGGCTATGCTGGCTGCTATCTCTAGTCTGCTCATCCAGGGGAATGCTCTCTCCTCATGGCTTGATCCTGAAATTTCAGATGACAAAAATGATGCACTTTCTGTGTAAACTTCCTTTTTTTGCTTTTGGGATTTCAAATTCATGGACAATGGTTCAAAACGAAAAAGAAGAGGCCTCAAGAGCTTAAGCTTTTGAGTCCAGCGTTGATTTAAGAGAGCATCAAGCAATGATCTGGACATTATGTTTTATAGTAAAATCTGACAAAAACAAATTAGTTAATTAGTTTAAAGTATCGAATTTAGGTTTGAATTTCATCGATTTTGTAGAAGGGGGAAAATTTACATTTCCTTCCTCGATGTTTCCATGGAGATATATTAAGACAATGGAACTCTCCATATTTTTATTGTATAAATGTTGTTCACTTTGGACTTCGCGTAACTTTAGTTTTAGTTTCAACCAAAAAGTGTAAACGGAAGTATGGTTCTTTACTTATATACTATGAATATTTTTCTCTTTCTAATCAATGTAGGGATTATATTTACATCCTCCAATTGTATGAAGCTATAATTATGTAAAATATAATAAGATGAATAATACCATATGACTAAGAAAGTAAAAAAGGTACAAATCTTACCATGTATAAGGTTGAATAGGCTTCCATTGGGCTGAAATTCATACACCAAAAGCTTCTCATGATCAGAACTATAGAAGGCAAGTGGTGGCAGAACATTAAGATGCTTCACTCGATCAATCTTCCACATTCTCTCCATAAACTCATCAGTAGAAATCCCCCAATCCTTAATCCTTTTCACAGCAAAAACCATCCCATAATCAAGCATAACCTTATAAAGACTCCCATGATTCCCCCTCCCAATCAACTCAGCAGGAGCCTTCAGCAAATCCTCAAACTTCAGCCCATTCACCACTGAATTTGTAAGCACTATCAGTGATGATGACATCCCTCCACTCTCAGATGAAAGCATTGAAAACTCTGGCTTACTAGTTTTGTATTCACTTGACAAAGAATTAGCACTGAATTTGTTGCTAATTTCATCATCATCTACTGCTACGACTCTGTTACTTGAATCCCCCTTGCTTGCCTTTTTCTTCCTTTTGCAGAAAATGAAAATGGCTATAACTGTGAAGACGACAGCTATTATTGCGTACCCTGAGTACATCAAAATGCTGTCTTTGTTGTTGTGCTTTGGTTCTTCAACTTCTGGTTTAAATTCTTCAAGTTTGAGGGAGTGACATTTTGTTGGCAATGGATCTCCACAAAGCAGAGGATTTCCCAAGAAGCTGTTTGATGCAAAGTAGCTACCGGCGGCGGCCGGGATCGGGCCGGAGAAGTTGTTGAAAGAGACGTTGAATCTCTCAAAATTGGAGAATTCAAACAAGGGTATTTCTCCAGAGAAGTTGTTGTTTTCAGCTAGGAACATGGTGAGGCCTGAAATTCTTGACAACTCTGGCAATTCCCCGGACAAGTTGTTGTTTGAAAGTTCGAGTCTTTTGAGGTTCACTAACTTGGAGAAAGAACTTGGGAGATTGCCATGGAATTTGTTTCCTCTAACATGAAAGCGAGTCAGTTGCTTGCAATTCTCAATATCAGATGGGATTTCTCCAGAAATGTTGTTGTCGTTGATGCTGAGAACAGAGAGGGAAGCCATTAGAGGCTCTGAGCTGCAGAGGAAGCTGGTTTGGAGAGTTCCTGAAAGATTCAGCCCATCAAGAAACAGTTTTTTGACAGAAACATTTCGTCCATCGCAAACCAAGCCATCCCAACTGTCCTTACAGGGATCAGAGGAAATGTCCCATCCCAGATTCTGGTTCTGTTGGCCATTTTGGGAGCTGAGCTTTGCAAGAAACTGAATCAGTGAGTTCTTCACAGAATCATCCACAGCATCAGAATTTGAAAAGAGGAATAGAAATGAACAAACAAGAAGCACACAGATGGAAAAATGATTCATTTTTCAATTTGTTTGGGGGAAAATCAACATGGAGAAGTTAACAGGAGAAGTGGAGTTTCAAACTTCAAAGAATGGCCAATAAGCAGAGAGGATAAAAACAGAAGGGTAGTGCATTTTAAAGCCATTGTTGGAGTTTTCCAAGTTCCAATTGGCTGATATTTGTTATTATATGAAAGCAAAGCTGGAATCTTTTGGCCATGATTTGCAATATAAAGCTAAAGAAAAGGCCATTTTTTCTCATAGATAGCATTTGAGAATATGCAAGCCGGCAGCCTAAAGAAGTAATTAGTTGTTGTATCGTTATATATATCAGCAAATGGAAACTCAGAAGAATGCTCATGATATAATGTCAAGTCGAAACCCATTCATCTAGTTGACTGTTTGAACAAGTCTCCTAATTTGCAGATCTTGATCAAGGGTCGACATTTATCCCATATTCTGATTAAGGAAATCACAAGAACACACATGAAAGAAAAAAAAGAAAAAATTAAGCATAGTGACGGTTGGGAATCTCGATCTCGAGCGTATCGGTACGATCTCTCTATTAGCACTGAACTGAATGTGGATTGAGTACTTAATGGCTTGACATTTTTTATGTTTCCTCTACCTGAATGCATTAGATCATTGTGTCTTAAGTCGTTCTATCGAAAGCGAAAAAGTGTCCCTAGAGAGTCATCCAACATCGAGCATTCTTAGCTAAAGACTTCTCAGTGAATGAGAGTCATCCAACATCGAGCATTCTTAGCTAAAGACTTCTCAGTGAATGAGACGCTGTAAAAGGAAGATGCACATTATCGATATAAGTAGTATCTTCGCAACATTACTTGGAAGGTGGACCACTTTTTGAGATGTTATAAATTGCAATATTTTAGGCAATAAAAACAAAAGGGCTTTGGTATAAAGCTTATTTGTCTTGGCTTTTGCAGAGTCTTTGAAATATTCAAGCCTGCTGATGAAGGAGCCAATCAAAGTGACTCAAATCTGATGCGTTTGCAAAAGGATTGAGCTGAGAAAAAATGAAGCATATGAGACAAAGAGAGAGGTCCCCAAAACAATGGGAATTGTTACTTTGTTATATACTAAGTAGATTCTCAAATATCTCATTGACAAATGTTGAGATATTGAGGTTTCCTTTTTATTTTTTACTTCAATCTCCTCTTTGTTTTATCATTTGGACATCACAATGGTCTAACTCTAAGCTTCTAAAAGTTCCTGTTTAATTGGGCCTTTTTCTTTTATAAATTAAATAGAGAATTGTTGTTTCTCTTCAGCTTGGAGTTTAATCTTTTGGGGGTTTTTTTTTTTTGTTCTTCTGAATTTTATCAAAATATATCGAATATTTATTGTAATATTTTTACTTCAAAAGGAGGAAAAAACTCGTAGCATGACTATGTATTTTGATATTGTGGTAGAGTGGAACAATATTTAAGTGTTTATTGATCGGCACCTATTTCTTAGCGACTACTCCTTAAAATTGAGTCGCTCTTTATTTTTAAATAAAATAAAAAAAATATATTATTTTTTACCTTTCTCTCCTAATTTAAAAAGAATTACTAATAACTAAATAATAACCAGTAAGAATATTATTCTGTGGAATGGACATAATTTTCAGCTTATTACCATGTCAAGTAATTTTCAATTCTTTTAAAACTCGAATCTTATTTAATTATTTTTTCAATTTGACTTAGGTTCCTCCCAAGTCCCAGGTCTATGTCAGATGACGTAAGCTACTATATGAGCTTGGGCCAACAACCAGTAAAAGCTAGGCCCATTTATGGCCCATGGACGAGTTGTTTAAAACCGAATTGGGATGCCAACAAATCTAACATAATTTTAATAAATTATTATAAAATAAAATTTTAAAAAGAATTATTGATATAACAAAAATGAGGTGTATAAGTGATTAGAATGTTTAACATATATAAATTAATTGGAATTGTGGTTAATCAATGTCTAGATTAATTATCGATTTACTTATTCAATAGCTATTGGATAAAATTATAACATATTAATTTATCACTATTAAGATTTTTTTAGTACAACATATGACAGTGGAGATCGAACTAACAACCTTTTGATTGGAGATATATGCCAATTAGTACTGAGTTATGCCCGTTTTGACTTATCACTACTAAGATTAATGAATATCAACAAGCTTTTAAAAATTTTACGTTTTAATACTTAGGTAATTTTCTTACTAATTTAACTGTGAAGATGACATTCGAACATCAACTTTTTAATGGATGATATATGCTTTCATCAGTTGAGTTTAAAATATTGTATTTATAATTACTTTTATAAATATACATATATATAAATTTTCTCTCCATATAATTGACCTAGACCAAATGATTAACACGAGCAAACCAAACTTTTGAGTCACTAATTTATATTCAAAATCTATTGTGCTTGATGAGTCGTGAACCTATTAAAGTTGATTTTTAGGCCAAACTCTAATGACAATGGTAAGATCTTGTGAATTTCGAAATCAAAAAATTTTTCTTTTTCTAGAATTGTTTGCAAGTATATTATATTTTAGCAACTGCTAACCAAATCCTTTTTGAGACATTTCGACTATTTAAAGTTATGACCTTTCCACGCATGATCATGAAATGTTATTTTGTCTATCTCTTTGAGTATCTATTGCTTTTTATGAGTCAATATTTATTGTCATTGAAGTTGCAAGGTGTCAATGCTCATAGGATTTTGTAAAAACCTTTCTTTTTAATTGATAAGCAATTTGAACTACTTCAACAAGTCTGCGTGGAAGATAACATCCGATGTTCGTATAGCAGTATCCACAACTCCTTTACGAGTTTCGTAACAAGAAATGATATATTTCGTTAGGGACAACCCCTCACGTAATTGCTTTGAATGGGTAATGGAAAGAGAAAAATATACTTTACATACGAACTCAGGAAAGTATGCGAACACTTTGACATTCAAAGAATTGACGATTTTTTAAATCCTCTGGTTCATCGGAGAAGATTTTGAACCCTCGAACTTAAGAAGGATATATGTGATACAGATATTTTATTATTAAATTATCCTCGAGTATATTTATATTTTTTAAATCTTCTTTGCATGTAATGAGCATGTCATCTGTTGACAAAAGCTCCCACCTAATACATGTCCTCCCACTTGTAACTTTTGGAAGACATTATTTATTTTAGTAAAAGCACATCTTTTATGCTCACCCATATGGTTTGTGATCATAGGAGCTAGCTAGGCAGTGGATGTAGATGTGACATCTAATTTCAAACAACATCAATATAATGAAGACAAAATCCCAAATTTCAATTATTACCAAATGTTATAACAATGTGATGTGTTCTACTCTTTTTTAGTACCCAAATTGACCCTTGGCTTGTATTTACATCATTAAGTAACCTCCAATTTAATCACAAATTTTTCAGGTGGCTTCTAATGTGTAAATTAAATTTCAATTATTGCCAAATATAATAACAATGTGATGTGTTCTACTCTTTCTTAGTAATCCAAATTGACCCTTGGCTTGTATTTAACCTTCAATTTAATCACAAATCTTTAATACACAAGTTGTGACTGAGTTGGCCCATAATGTGTAAATTTAATTTCATGACTTGCTTGTTGCTATGGGTTATAAGGTTTAAAATCTGATGAAATATTGCAAACTTGAGCATAATTGGGTATAGATCTTTGAATGAATTTAGTGAATACATAATTAGTGAAACTTCGACACAAATTTACATCATTAAGTAACCTCCAATTTAATTACAAATTTTGCACAACAGTATTAATGTTCAACTCATTGGAATATTCCCTAGTACAACATAAACGTCACTACCTAATGCCTTAAAGCACAAAATAGTGATGAGTTCCATATGATTTTTTGTTGGTTGTTTCTTTAAAAAACTACTTATATATGGCACCAGAAAAGAACCTCCAATATTATACTGCAAGTTGTTTTCCCAAATACATTGCTCCTTAAATAAAGAAGAAGAAGAAGAAGAATTAATATTGTTGCAGAGGTTATGGAGATCAGTGCAGGCATAGCTTTTGGAGCCATGATAATGGTGGAGAGCACTGATGTGGTGGCATCGACGCTGAGCAAAGCAGCCATGGCCAAAGGGCTGAGCAACTTGGTTCTTATTGTCTATTCCAATGCCCTCGCTTCCCTTCTTCTTCTTCCCTTTCCCTTCCTCTCTTGCAGAGACAGAGGGAACCCTCTCTCTCTCTCCTTGATCCTTGGCTTCTTTCTCCTCGGCTTTGTCGGGTAAAAAATTAATGAATTTAAAAGTTTAAGCGGACGGGGTACGATAAAACTGATGGTTTTTGATGGTGTATCGATAGGAGCGTGGGTCAGATGTTGTCGTATACCGGGATAAAGTACAGCTCTCCAGCTCTTCAATCTGCAATGGGAAATCTGATCCCCATTTTGACATTCCTGCTTGCTGTTGTTTTCAGGTAATAATTTTATAGCATAGAATAGGCTGTTGCAATGGAATTGAAATTGATGATAAGAGTGGGTTTGATTTTGTTTTAGAATGGAGAGGTTTGATTTGAAGATGAATAGCAGCAAAGCCAAATGTGTGGGAACCATTTTAGTAGTGGCAGGAGCTTCCATTGTTACTCTGTACAAAGGGCCAGTGTTGATCATGGCTGCTTCTTCTTCTTCTTCTTCTTCTTCTTCTTCAGAGTTTGTGAAGCAGAAACAACAATCAAATTGGGTGTTTGGGGGATTTCTGTTTCTGATTGTTTGCCTTCTATCAGCTACTTGGCACATTGCTCAGGTAATTAATTACACTACTTCTCTTAACCAAATTATGTTCTATGCTATCCTAAATATCCTACAAATTTAATTTCGTCTAAATTGTTTTGAAGCTGTCAAAATTCTTGATTATTTTTCTTTTTCTGTTTTTAAATGTTTGAGAATCTTCTCAACCTGATTTCATAGCTATTTTATATTTGAAAGTTTTTGTTTGTTTATTCAAGTTTGTTCTTTTCAAATCATTTGTTTGCTGGAAAAAGTTTTTAATTTTAAAATCATAGCCTTTGGAAATCAAAAATCTGTTTTTTTTTTTTGGTCAACTAAAGGATTGTTTATAAATAAGATGAACTGTTTGTGAATGGAACATAGCATCCATTATTACTACTACTACTATTATTATATATATGAATTTTACCTTCTTTTTTGTTTCAATTACTACTTTTATTATTATATATATATATAGCATAAGCTTGACTTAACAAAATTAATAGATAGGTTAAATTATAAATTTAAGAGGGGAAGAAAAAAAACCTTTTTGAGCTTGAAGTTTGAGTTTGGTTGATGATACTTTTAATAATAGAGTAAGGTGTATTTAAGAAGGACCAAAATCATTTTTGCCATCATTAAAATCATTTTCTTTTTCATAGATGATGTTCGACAAATTAAAATTTTGATTTTAAAAAATTTTAAAATCACTTTAAATTAAAGTATCACTTAGATGTTGATTTTGAAAAATCAATTATACCTAAAATTTCTTTTAATTCCATGTTTTAATATTGAAGTTTACTTTTTTGTTAGCTTTATTAATATAAAGGATCAATGTGTGGCAATTTAATTTTTATTTATTCTTTTAGATTAAATTTTTTTTTAATTATACTACGTAACTTTGAATTTGTAATTCTGCTACTAAATAAAAATAATACCACAATCCAAATTGGATAAAATATTCAAAATATAGGAACCAAATTTATAGTCTAAATGAGGTGTTTAGGTTTGAAATAAAAAAAGAAAAAAAAACACACACACACCCCCGTAAAAGATTAATAAATGTTAGAGTCCTTAGTAACATTCTCTTTTTTTTTTTTAATTTCTCATTTAAAATTTTTTAAAATTAAAAGCATTTGATAACTGTTTTTCTAAAATTGTAAGTTTCTCTGGTTTTTTTTTAATTTATGTTTCTAGTTTTTTTTTCTAAAGAATAAGACAAAAAGATTATTTTATCATTCTTATTTATAAAATGTATAATCAAAGTTGAAATATTTAATTTGAAATTTTAATTTTCATATAAAACGTTGGGGGGTTTTGTGAATTGTTGTGCAGTGCAGACGTGGATTGTGAAGGAGTACCCAGGAAAAAAGATGACAAACGTGTTCTTCTTCAACTTCTTCGTCACACTCCAAACTGCAGCTTTTGCAGTTGTCATCGAAACCGACCCGATCCGTTGGCAAGTCCGACCCGACATCCAGATGCTCGCCATCGTATTCTCCGTAAGAAACCTTTTTTGGATCCCCTAAATTAAAATTAATTGTAATGTATATTAAATTAAATGAGTCGAGGGTGAGCACTGAGCAGGGCATTTTCGGAAGTGTGGTTCGTGTGAGCGTTCACACGTGGTGCTTGCAGAAGAAGGGCCCACTGTACGTGGTGATGTTCAAGCCCCTCGGCATGGTCCTCGCTCTCGCCTCGGCCTTCACCTTCCTCCACGACACGCTTTTTCTCGGCAGGTAAACGACGCCACCCACCTGTTTTTTAGTTTTTAAATTGTTACACTGAAAATATTGTTTCCGTACTTGTATTTTTTATTTTTATCTATTTTAATTTAGGTACTTTAGAGATTTTTTTTTCTTTTTTTTTTTAAATTTCTATACTCATAAGAACAATCATTTTGGTTCATTCATTTTATTTCGAGTAAAGAACCCATTTGATTTTTGAACTTTCAAGTAATTGAAAGTTTTAAAATGAACCCTTCTTATTTAAAAAGTTTAGAGTAAGTATTTATTTGATCTAAAATATATATTTTTTATCCTTGAAGTTTAAAAGATGGTTTTAGATAGTAATTTATAGCTACTTAGACATTAGTTGACTAGCCTTAAAATATAATATAGGAAAATTGTAGTGGGTAGCGAAAATCTTTTATGTATTTCAAAATATGCCATTGATTTTTAAAATTTTCAAATATAACAAAAATATTCACTTATATTAATAGTATATCGGATGATATAATACTCATATCAGTGGTCAATTTAATATTAAATTAATATATTTCTAGTAATTTAATAGCCACATTATCATTTCAAGATTAGTCAACTAACGGTTAAACTACGCATGAGAGACTATTTAGAACCATTTCTTAAATTCCAATAACCAAAAATGTCCATTGAACTTCAACGATCAAATAGACACTTATTCCAAACTTCATAGATGGAGGATGTTAATTTTGAAACTTTAGAGATCAAATAGAAACATACTTATGCTTCAAAATTTAGAGAGGACAAGTGATTTTTTCTCTTTTACCTTTTTATCTAATTTTTTTTGAATTATTTATGAACATGAGACTGAAACGTGTATAGAGTTTCTGGCTTAAACAACATGTGTATATGAAAATCTTGATTTTGGGTGTTTTCTTTTGCAGTGTGATGGGGTCGGTTGTGATTGGGTGTGGGTTTTATACAGTTTTGTGGGGACAGATGAAAGAACACAACTCCTTGCCTTCTGAGTCTGAAACTGAATCATCCTCCACCTCGCTTTTGCACCACTCTTCCACTCTTCAACAAGCTTAGAGAAAAGAGAGGGAAAAAAGATGAAAACTAAAAAATAGTACCTATTCTCTTATATTTGTATTTAATTGATGTATAATTTTATTTTATGAACTCCGTATACGAATTAGGAAGCCATTAATATTTAAACGAAGGCAACTTTAAGTTTCAAATGCAAGCTTTGATTGGTTGGCCAAACCCAGAATTGAACCAATTATTTGCACTCGAGTCAAAATCAAGCAATCAATTTCTTGGAGTGGGAATCTAAAGACATGGATGTAGATGCCTAGGTTTCGTTTAAGTTTGGGATAGTGTTTTTTTTTTTTAAATTTTTGGAATCGCTTGGATAAAGTTTAGGCAAATTTTCATTTTCATTTTCAGAATTAATTTTGTTTTTCCCAAGTATCAAGGTGAGAGATTCTTTTACTTTTACTTCTCCCCTGAAAAAGGTTGAATTGCCAACTATATAGTTTTGCGTTATAAAGTAAAATTTATGCAACATGAGATACCAAATAAATAATAGTTAATTGTTGGTAAAAAGCTACTGTCTTGAGGTTGAGTCTTGGTCAAAAGGAATGAGAGCTCTTTACCCAACTTTCAAATATTTACTTTTACTTTAGAGAATAAACATAAAAGAATAAAATAATGGATTCAGCTTTAAACTATGAGTATATTGGCCATATAAAGGTAGATTTCGATCGAATGAAACTAACATTTCATGATTTTTTTTTTACTTTAATATAATAGAAATTTTCTCTTAATAGTCCCTAATTGTGACATTAACACATTACTTATCATAACCACCTTCGGTAGGTGCTAAGTATTCATATTAATCTCAACAAAATGTAGGCAACACCAAGACTCATCGAGAAGAAGACATGCAGGAATCTTCACTTCAGTAACAAGTTTTTATCTTGATCTTACTTCTTTTATATATATATATATAGGACAACAACGATCTTCTTCAAATTTTTATTATTATATCATACGAATTGTCCACTTTGAATCTAAGTGCGTATAGTTTTTAATCCCTACAAGATCATGTCATTTTTACCTATATAGTGTGGATATTCCTTATGATTCTTAGTTGATGTGAATTATATTTTGTTTTAATAGAATTGAATCAAGGAAAATTAAAAAATTAAAAAAAAAAATCCCCTTCCTTGTGAAATTACATTACGGATTAGTCCTTTGAAAATAGTAATAGTATCTTCTTTCTTTGTCAGCCTTTCTTTTTGTAAAGCTTCATAATTAGCTATTTGGTATGGAAAGCAAAAGCAAATGGGTAGAGATTTATACGAAAGACCAAAAACCACGCAAAAACCACAAATATAGAAAAATTTATAGATTTAAATACTATATTGGTCTCTCCTCAAGATGTTTAGTGTGATACATGTATTTTCAAAATGTGTTCATGTACTTTTAAAATTTTAGTTTTAGTCAATGTACGGATCATTTTTTATACCTTTATTACGATGGTGCACTCACTAAATTTTTTAAAATATAGTCATAAATTTGTGTTCTAGGATTCTCCGGCATCATATTACTATGCTATTATTGATCTCATAAATCATTCTTCAATTCTTCATACACCACAAAGTGTTATATATCAATTATATATTCTCTTTTTTCTTAATATATTCCATCAATTTAACATTTA